TACTTTTACACTGGACGCGCGTTTCGCTAACCATGTTAGCATCATCAGCAGATGATAATAAGCATGTTAGCATCATCAGCAGATGATAATAAACTGAGTTTATAATCATCTGCTGATGATGCTAACATGGTTAGCGAAACGGTATAAAAGTAAAAGTGTTTTGGTGTATCGTGGTGATTTAGTGTTTTATTTTGCTGTGTAACACCAAAGGTTCCAACCCTCAACTGTAATAAAAGAATACCTACTGAAAGAGAACGTTTGCTCAGCAGTTACAAGATCATACCATAACGTGGTAACTGATGCTTCGAAAACCCAACAACCTACCCTATCATCCTACAGGCAGAAATCTACGCTATCGAAAGATGCGTACTTAGAGAGGAACTATTGAAAAAAAGAAATAGCCATCTTATGTTAAGCCATATTAAATATACATTTATTTTATTTTTTTTCTACATTTAGTATTCGTATATAGACTTTATTTAGAGACAGTTATTTCATATATTTGGCATAATTGAGCTGCGTTGTCTGGAACGATTAAATACTGTTTTGAGTCACAACCACACGTTGTTGTGCTGAGGCTCAAGTATCGGCTGCTTCCGAAGTAGCAAAAATTCAAATTACCCGTTTTCCAAGAGCGTTATTGCTCTCAATAGCCCGCATTCCGATTTGAATGGTATGGCAAGCGTACTTACATTTTTGAGCGGAAGCTTATTACAAAATGCTTCTAGATTCCGCCAGATTTTCACTTCAGTAATATTAAAAAGGATTATTAGATTTCTCGTTAACTGATTTTCCAGAATTCTTTTAGTCAGTTTTCTTTTTTCCCGGATATTCCTTACTATGCATAAATTTAATTTCATTTTTTTTGTTGTTTATTGACATTAAATTTCTAACAAATACTGGAATTTTTAATTTTCTGACTACGGTTTTCTTTTATTTCAGAGTATACAAAATTTCCTATATTTTATAATCAAGTCCAGTCAAACAAAGATCCAAAAAAAAATAATTTTCTCACAAAACCAACATATCTAAGCCTTTAAAGGGTCATATATTCTGAATCTACATAAAATTTTCTATAAATGCTGAAATTTTCATAACTTTATGGCTATGATTATTATTTTTCTAAGGCCTTAGAATATGTGTAAAAAAAGCAAAATTAGATCAAAACGAGGGTCCAAAAAATGAATTTCCTTACAAACTCAAGGTATCTAAGCCTTTAAAGGTTCATATATTCTGAATCTACGTAAAATTTTCTATAAATGCTGAAATTTTCATAATTTTATGGCTATGATTAAAAAAAGCAAAATTAGCTCAAAGTAAGGGTCTAAAAAATGAATCTCCTCACAAAGCCAAGATATCTAAGCCTTTAAAGGTTCATATATTCCTAATCTACATAACATTTTCTACAAATACTGAAATTTTCATAATTTTATGGCTATGTATATTATTATTCTAAGGCCTTAAAATACATATGTGTAAAAAAGCAAAATTAGCTCAAAACAAGGGCTCAAAAAATTAATTTTCTCACAAAACCAATATATTCTAGCCTATAAGGGTTTATATTCTGAATCTACATAAAATTTTCTACAAATGCTGCAATTTTCATAATTTTCTGGCCGTGATTATTATTTCTCTAGGCCTTAGAATATGAGCAAAAAAAAGCAAAATTAGCTCAAAACGAGGGTCCAAAAATGAATTTCCGCACAAACTCAAGATATCTAAGCCTTTAAAGGTTCATATATTCTGAATCTACATAACATTTTCTACAAATGCTGAAATTTTCATAATTTTATGGCTATGTATATTATTTTTCTAAAGACTTAGGAAAATAAATTAATTAGTAAATAACTTAAATAATTTAATTAGTAAATAACTATCGTTATTTACTAATTGAAAGGTAGATAAATTTTATCTCAAAGAGTGTGTTTTATTTACGATTACTATTTTATTAAGGGTAAAAACACGTAAAGAATAGCCAAAAATTGACAATATTTCTCGTTCTATCTGACATTTTGTGATTCTAATAAAATCACCGTTATCAACTAATTAGAAGGTTTAGAACAAATTATTTTTTTAAATAAAACAAGTAGTGATTTTTTGATCAATGTCATTATTTTTCCCAAGCAAACCTAAAAAACTGTTCATTATCGGGTTTAAAAATAAAAAGCGGACTTGCGAGGCGGAAGGCGGACTTGTTTCTGTGTGTTTTTTTGCCAAAGCGTTTCGAGATGTTTTTCCCATTGAATTTCGCATCAGCATATCGAGTGGTCGGAATGGCGTAAAGATAACGACGTCTGTGCGACGTCCCGCGTCGCTCAAAGACGCCGCCAGACGCCGAGTGCCGGCCCTCGACGTCCCTACAAAGGCACCGGGACCTCGTCGAGTGAATGTCGAAAGTCATCTTCTATCACTGTATAAATTGAACAAATTATTAGTACTTTTATATACGGACCGTGGAAAACAGCGTTCGCTTCCAGTGGCGTCAATTAAAAGTCCGCTCGCACACAGATAAATTACAGGAAAATAATGAAAAAAATTATATGTAGAGTTGTATTTTTCTAAGGGTCATGAAATGAAGTAAAAATTAACCAAAAATGGTCGATTTTTTTAGTTTTTTTTCATACATTATAGACGACAATTGGCCATTTTCGTCTTGTCACCGATTTTGTTAAAACTTCTCTTATTTACTAATTAAAAGGCGTAGAATGAGAAAATAGAGACCACTCTAGTCTTACGAGGATACTAATAGATGTAGGTAACTTATCGGTAACCATCATCATCATAGCTTAATACAAGGGTCCAAAAAATTATTTTTCTCACAAAACCAAGATATCTAAGCCTTTAAGGGTGTATATATTATGAATTTACATAAAATTTCCTAGAAATACTGAAATTTTCATAATTTTATCTCTATGATTACTATTTTTTCTAAGGCGTTTAAAATCTGTAAAAAATATCCAAAATTGATCATTTTTCGATTTTTTTTGGCGAATTTTTTTTTTTGGCCATGTCACCGATTTTGTTAAAACTGCTATTATTTACTAATTAAAAGACTTAGAATAAGAAAATATAGGCCATTGTAGTCTTACGAGAACCGTAATAGGTGTAGGAGACGTTTTAACCATCATCAAAAATAGCTTAACACAAGGGTCCCAAAAATTAATTTTCTAACAAAACCAAGATATCTAAGCCTTTAAAGGTGTATATATTATGAATCTACATAAAATTTCCTAGAAATAATGAAATTTTTATAATTTTATCTCTATGATTACTATTTTTTCTAAGGCGATTAAAAATCTGCAAAAATATCCAAAATTGATCGTTTTTCGACTTTTTTTGGCGAATTTTTTTTTGGCCATGTCACCGATTTTGTTAAAACTGCTATTATTTATTAATTAAAAGACTTAGAATAAGAAAATATAGGCCATTGTAGTCTTACGAGAACCGTAATAGGTGTAGGAGACGTTTTAACCATCATCAAAAATAGCTTAACACAAGGGTCCCAAAAATTAATTTTCTAACAAAACCAAGATATCTAAGCCTTTAAAGGTGTATATATTATGAATCTACATAAAATTTCCTAGAAATAATGAAATTTTTATAATTTTATCTCTATGATTACTATTTTTTCTAAGGCGTTTAAAAATCTGCAAAAATATCCAAAATTGATCGTTTTTCGACTTTTTTTGGCGAATTTTTTTTGGCCATGTCACCGATTTTGTTAAAACTGCTATTATTTATTAATTAAAAGACTTAGAATAAGAAAATATAGGCCATTGTAGTCTTACGAGAACCGTAATAGGTGTAGGAGACGTTTTAACCATCATCAAAAATAGCTTAACACAAGGGTCCCAAAAATTAATTTTCTAACAAAACCAAGATATGCTTTTTAAAGGTGTATATATTATGAATCTACATAAAATTTCCTAGAAATACTGAAATTTTTATAATTTTATCTCTATAATTACTATTTTTTCTAAGGCGTTTAAAATCTGGAAAAAATATCCAAAATTGATCTTTTTTCGACTTTTTTTGGCGAATTTTTTTTGGCTATGTCACCGATTTTGTTAAAACTAATTAAAAGACTTAGAATAAGAAAATATAGGCCATTGTAGTCTTACGAGAACCGTAATAGGTGTAGGAGACGTTTTAACCATCATCAAAAATAGCTTAACACAAGGGTCACTAAAGTTAATTTTCTCCCATACCAAGATATCTAAGGCGTTAAAGGTGTATATATTCTGAATCTACATAAAATTTCCTACAAATACTGAAATTTTCATAATTTAATCTCTATGATTACTATTTTTTCTAAGGCGTTTAAAAATCTGTAAAAATATCCTATTAATATATTTGGCGATTTGCCTCATGTCACAGATTTTGTTAAAACTGCAGTTACTTACTATTTAAAAGGCGTAGAATAAAAAAATATAGGCCATTGTAGTCTTACGTGAACAGTAATGGATGTAGGGCACGTTTTAACAACCATCATCAAAAATAGCGCAAAACAAGAGATGGCAAGAATTGATTTTCTGACAAAACCAAAACAGTTAAACCTTTCAATGTTACATTTTCTAAATCTACATAAATTTTTTTATTAACGTCGAAATTTTCAGAATTTCACGCCTATTGCTACTCTTAGCTAGTTTATTTCCATAGTCATTAAAATTGAAGATTTTGGTGAAGTCGCCGTTTTTATAACCCATCAAAAAGGCATAGAACCTGAGAATAGGGACCTCACATTTTCTTAATCTAGACAATATTTTTTATAGATGGATATGAAAATATTAAAGGTCTTTTAGTGTCTTCGGTGTAAAGTTTCAATCAGTCTTTGTTGGTAATGCAGAGAGTTCAACAAAATTGAAACATGGAATTTATTTTTTTTCACAATTGAGAAAACTGGCGCATCCGCCTGAATTCACTATAATCAGTCATTTTTCGACATGTTTCGACATGTTTTCAACAGTTTCGAATACGTAAGGTTAGTAAAACAAAAAATATAAAATATATCTTTTTATTAAATATATTCAAAGTTTAGGCCCATATTGAAAAATAGACGTATATCACATATGCATTTCAGCAGCTTAAAATATAATATAATATAAGCTTGTACTTTAATAATCTTAGTTAAAAAATAAAACGTTTTTTAACTAAGTTTAGTTTAAATTTATTTTGGTATTTTGTATGGCTTCGTTATAAGATGGGGGCGCTAGTAAAAAATAAAAATCATTAAAAATAACAAATAAATATTAATATATTTAACTTACGCAGTTCATTGGCATTCCCGTCACCTGAAACAATATGTATTTTATATTTATTTTTAAATTAATATTCAATGTTCTTAATATCTGTGGTTATACAGGGTTGTTTACCACATACGACGCGGAGTATTGTAGCTAAACTCTTAGATTTTTGCAAATTGTACGTTTTGGGTTCATTGAAGGACTATTAGAGCTACAATTTAAAAATAATTTTACAAGATACAGAGTGGCCCAAATAAATAAAAAATATCAAAGTTGTATTTTTTAAATGGAACACCTTGTATATTATTACATTTTTAGTTTCTACGATTAAAATAAAGGTAAATTTGATTAAGGTTTACCGCATTTTAATCTTACCGTTTTTGAAATATTTAGGTTTTTGTCAAAATACAGTAATAATTTTAATGCTTTATTTCTCCAGGCGTATTTAAGTTTTTAAAACCAAATATTGTACTGATATTGTCTATTTACTAAATTTTGTGTTTCATTAATAAAAATTATACTACCTTATACAGAGTGTCTAAAATTTTATTTTAAATAATAATTAGCTATAAACGGCAATAACTTGTTTAATTTAAATGGAACACCCTGTATATTTTACAAGAATCAGATGCACAATTTAATTGTCTATCAAATTGTATTGTATCATATTTTACCTATGTCTTCGTAGGTTTTCGTAGAAACGCATTTTCTTATAATTTAGACCTCAAAAATCAATATACCCATGGAATATTGACATTTTTGATTATTTTTAAACATGTAACAAATTTTTAAATGGTACAGATACTAATATTGTCGATATAGTTCGTTTATGTTATTAAAAAATAAAAAAAATGTTTAAATATTTGTAAAGAGAACAAAATAATATGATTCCAGTATTCAAACTACATTAATTGACTGTTTGCGTTGATTAATAATAATTGCTCCAAACACTAAAAACCTTAATTTTGTATGTGTATTAGACAGCGTGGTAAAAAGTAACACCTTAAAAATGTTATTTCATTTTTTGACGGATGCTTATTTATAACAACAGAGACGTTCATTTTCATAACTTATTATTATATTGATTTCTGATTCCAAATTCACATTTATTTAGAATAATTTATTAACTAATACAATTAAATATGTAATTAATTAATATTTTGGCGGAAATAATGGCGATATATTTAATTAATGTTTCTCTTTTATAAAGATATAAATAATTTTATTTTTGTATACCAATAGGCAGCATAATATTATCGTTTTTAGCACCTATACATTTGTTGCTTTTAAAAAAAATCTAAAATGTCAATATTCCATGGGTATTTTGATAAATGAGGTCTAAATTATAAGAAAATGCATTTTCTACGAAAACTTGAAGGGATAGGTAAAAATGGTATATTACACAATAATTTGATGAACAATTAAATTGTGCATCTGATTTTCCTAAAACATACAGGGTGTTGTATTTAAATTAAACAAGTTATTGCCATTTAAAGCTGGAAATTATTTAAAATAAATTTTTAGACACTCTGTATGAGGTAGTAGTATTTTTATTATTGCAACACAATAACTGATCAATAATTAAACTTCAGTAAATATTTAGTATTAAAAACTTTGATACCCTTGGAAAAATGAAGCCTTAAAATTTTTACTGCTATTTCACAAAATTGAAAATATTTAAAAAACGGTAAAGTTTAAGGGTGATAAACCTTAATCAAATTTACCTTTATTTTAATCAAGAAACTAAAAATGTAATAATATACAGGGTGTTCCATTTAAAAAAATACAACTTTGATATTTTTTATTTATTTGGGACACTCTGTATCATGTAAAAATATTTTTAAATTGTAGCTCTAATAGTCCTTCAACGAACCCAAAACTTACAATTTGCAAAAATCTATTCGTTTAGCTACAATACTCCGTGTCGTATGTGGTGAACAACCCTGTATACCTGAATTTTCTTCATTTGACATAAGTAATTTTGGAGGTGCCGAAGGTGCTACATTATTTACTGGTGCAGTGGCACCTTCATTACTTGGCATGGGCATAGGCATTGGCATTATTGGAACGTTAGGTCCAGCATTAAATCCTGGTTGCGGAAAAATTGGAGAAATGGTGTTAAAAGGTATATGACCTAAATATATCGTTTGTTCTATTTCAAAGTCATTGTGCATTCCAGGAATCGCCGCACATACCTAGCGAAACATAAAAAAATTGTGTTTTTTGATCCACCTTGTATAAATATTTCTACCTTCAGTTCGTGGCTGGACCTAAATAGATCACAGCCAGCGAAATTATACACTGGTGTAGACTGTGGTATATCCAAAACGAAGTTGTATTCTCTTTCGCCATGTGCCCCAACACCAGTGTCCCCTGTACTACTCACAAGTTCACTGTCATGTTTATACTTGACACCTGGATGTGTAGTTTTGTAATCTAGGTTCTTAAAAAAACTTGTTTAAGTAAAAAGATCAGGTCTTTTAAAATGGAGCATTATTTACGGATTTTACTATTACAGTTATGCCGTTTACATTACTGTTTGACATATTTAGACAGTAGACTTTTACATTGATGGATTCTCCTACTACGAAACCTTGTTTTTCCAGTGACAAGCACAGTGTTATTGGACCACTAGCACAGCAACAGCAGCAAAGTGTTTTATCATCTGATAAATTAACTGCTTCCTAAAAAAAATATAAATTATAATATGGAAAATACTATATTTATATCTGAAGACAAAACCATATTTTTGAAGAGAAACTTCTTTACGCGCGCTGGGATTACAGTTGAGGGTTGGAAGTTAGTTGGAACCTTTGGTGTTACACAGCAAAATAAAAACACTAAATCACCACAATACACCAAAACACTTTTATTTTTCACTGGACGCGCGTTTCGCTAACCATGTTAGCATCATCAGCAGATGATTATAAACTGTCAGTTTATAATCAAAAGTGTTTTGGTGTATCGCGCTGGGAGTAAAAATTCAAGGCTGTGTGGCTGTGACACACGCCGAGCTAGTGATCACGAAAAGTGGTAACGATTGAAAAAGGGGTAAAGACACACTCAGAAAAAAAATACATTGTAAAATGCACAATAAATCACGTTAAAATAATTAACTCGTTCTATTGAATTCGATTTAGCTAGTTATTTGTTTCATAAAGGAATTCCTGATAATATAATATTGTTATTGTTTTATACAGGGTGTTTCAAAACAAATGCGAAAAACTTCAGGGGGTGATTCCTTGTTCAAAATAAAGGGTAGTTTGATTTATAAACGTTGGGTCAAAAGTCAACCATTAGGGAGATATCGAGGTACAAAGATGGCGGAAAAATAATGTTTTTATTTTTTATCTTGAAAACGAAAAGAGATAGACTAATGAAATTTTACGGAAGTATTACTGTTATGAAAACACACTTTCTGGTAATTTTTTCACTTTTTTAAAATGAGTGGAAGGGGATGAAATAAACTACCCCTATCATTCTTGTTAATGAAATTTAAAGAAAAATCTTATCAAACACATGCAAAAAAAAATAATTTTGATAGTTTAGTTTATTTAGAAACTTTTTTATCTCTTGTATTTTTTTGATAAAACTCACCGATTTGAAATTAAAAAATAAAATGTTAAGCATTGCATGTCAGGACAAAAAACATTTTTAGATAAAGAATCTAGTGGGCAGCTGTAATTTTTTTAGAAAAAAATCTAGTCGGCCGCTGTCACTTTTTAGGATGTTTCTATTATTGTTTTATTTGACATTACCCTACTGCAATACGTTATTATCTAGATTATTATTATTATCATTATTATCACTAGATTCTTAATAAGTATTAAGTAAAAAAACATATGTTTGTGTCATATGTCAAAAATGACAGGCTTTAGAAAAAAACGGAGGAAACAGTCTCATTAAGGATGTGATTATCTACAACTTTTATCTGAAAACTTTTTGTCTAAAATAGCTTATAATGGAATTAGGGACAATTTTTAAAATAGCCGAAATTTGTTTTTTTCGAAATATCTAGTAAGTCATGAACTTTTTCAAAAATCTGAAAGGCGCATATTTATGACCCCACAAAACTGCAATTCTTTCCCCGTTTAACCGACTCTCTATCTCTAGTAGTTTCCGAGATACCCATAGAGAACATCGTAGGAAACTCACACTGTATATTCTAAGAATTATTATTATTTCACGATTCTATTTATAATAATAAAATGATATCAGTTTGATTATCTTACTTGAATATGAGAATTAAAAGTACTTAGTTTTATAGGAGACATCACTTGTAGTTCTCTGTAATCTTCTAAATCAAGTTTCCAAGGCCTATCCATTGTTCCTTTGATCGAATGTTTTATAAAACCGTAAGAGCAAACGAAACTGCTTGGTAAATGTTCTGGAATTTTAACGCTGAATGGGAAAACGTGATGCCCAGCACTAAGGGATCCTAAAAACAAAAAAGTTTCATAATTTTGCTTAATATTGCTCCAAAGAACCATATCTGTGAGCTTATATATATATCCTGTATATCATTTTTTATATTACCTTCTCCATGTAGAACTACTTCTTGGTAAAACAATGTGTTTGTTCCTGTATAATTAACATATCTTGTTTTATGTTTCTTATCATGATGGTCATAATACCGCTCAGAGTCAGTCCAAGAAGTATGCTCCTTACATTTTAGTCTAATGTACAGTTCTAAAATAATAGTGCTATAGGTGGTGCTAAATTAAAAACTATAGTTGTTAGTTAACAAATCTTACTTCTAAAATTCTTGGGCGAACTAAACATGCATACTAGCTTTCCAGTTATTGTATCTCCGGTATTAAGTTGTGTATTATTAAACTGTATTTGGATATTGGACATTCTGTATAAAAGAATTTTATAATTAATAGCAAAAATATGAGAAAAATAGAGTGAAACCTACTTTTCTTAAAATAATTTAAATAATAACTAATAGATTTGTTTTCTAGGAATTTTAATAATCAATATTCACAGACAATCTTATAAGAATATATTAACCAATATTAAAATATGAATTTTAGTAATAATTAATACTAAAGAGAAATTAATGATTTTTTTGATTTATAAAAATGTTTTATAATATTCACTAAGATGATTGAATTTGGTGAAGATATTTGAATTAATTATAATTTATTATTAATTCTTTGCATACATACCTCGTAATTTAGGCTTGTAAACTCGTAACAGGTGGGAATGAAATGAATGAATCTTTACAGCAGTAATCTTACAGTGATTTTTTTTATTTATATACCCAATACTTATCTCTATCGATACGGCAATTCAACTGTATTCACAATTCACCTTGAAAATTGTGTCGGATTCAGTTATACAACGCCATTTATAAACAAATATTCCCTGGGATAACCTAAAACTCCGTTTTCATCTATTTATGGACAGTCAATATAGTCCAGGAGCATAGAGAAAGATAATAAAAAGTATAGTGGCTGTGATAATCATTATCACCCCAATTTTAAATCAAATTAAATTTTGAAATAAACATCCTAAAAGATCGTGAGTTTTTTGAGTCCCCTACCCCTCGTCAGAGGTTTTACATTGATATGTACTCACACTGGGTTGGAGAACGTTTAGTTAACTCTATTGCTGTTTGGTGACTGGGAAAATAAGTACCGAAATTCTTCATTGGCTCTTGGACTAATATTGGATATTTTCTTGCGTCTGGCAAACTGCATAAACATATTTATTTCATAATCAGTTTGTTAATTATTTTTGGCAAATCATTTTTTTTAATTAACATTTTGAAAAATAACTCTTATAATTATTTTTATGTTTACTATATTATTAGTTTTTCAATTTTCCCCTTCTAACGTCATTCTTTTTTTATTTTTACAAAAGTAGGTGAAATAAAGGACCGATGTATGTAATAATAAATATATTTGCAATACCCTTTTTTACATTGCATTTTTACATCGCTACTGTGCCACTTAATGAGCCAATACAATATTTCAATCGTTGATTAATGTATTTTTTTTTACATTGAGCACATTCATTTTGCGTTTAGCACAGGTTTACAAAAATTGACATGTACACCAGGTGTGTCCAGCACATTATTTTTTATGTAATACTGCAATATTTTACCTGTTTATTGACTTGGTAAATTTTACAGCGCGGTATTTCATTGATTATTTAAATATGAATAACAGTAATATCACCTAAAAACTACAGGGCCTGAATCAACGCTGTAATCTATTTTCTATCGGGAATTTTTATATTTAGAATGTTCGATAATCTTAAATATTCATTAACGTTAAGTATGGCATGGTGTAATTTTTATATTGTCAATGGTATATTTAGGAAAAAAACATAGTACAAGAAGTCTCAAGTTAAATAAAGATTAAGATAAAAAAAATAATGTTTCATTGAATTTGGCTGTTAAAAAGGCACGATATTTTTGTTTTTAAAGATTGTAGATCCAATTCCTATTAAATACATAGTATATAATTTTTTAGCGTTGAAATTTAAAAGCATTTAAACAATTAGGTAATTCCAACTTAGTTTTAACATTTATATTTACAATAAAAAAACGAAAACAGGTCTACTTATAGTATACTTAATATAACTTTGGTCAACAAATCATCTTGTTACTCGAATAGATATGTTTTATGTTGTTTGTTAAAATGAAGTAAGTGGTGTGAGTTCTCAACCAGAATAAATAGGAAAATCTATGCTCGAAACATCATCACTTTTATCGTTTTACATACATAATACTACGCAAGCGCAACCTATGAATAAATAAATAAATAATTTACAAATAAAACGTTAAAACAATATCTCGAATTATGTACAGAAACAAAGTCTTTTAAATTGACTGATCACTAATGGTCATTTAACCTATCCTGGCTTCTACTGCTGCCTCGAAACGATTTTCTGCTCAGACACTCCAAATACGAGGCTGGAGCCCAACCTTCCACAGAACTTCCTGAAATATACAGGTAACTTTAGAATTTCAGACGTTTTTTTTTCTGGCATTTACTTACCAATAACTTTAACAAACCACCAGCCAGCACATCCCTTTTTTAGTAATTCAACTATATCCCCTTCTCTCATATTGACTTCGCTGATGCCTATTGCACAGTAGTCAGCCAAAGCTATGAATCTTCCTCTCTAAAATCATTACAATTTTTTTAAACTTAAATCACTATTCTCTAAATTGCTATATTAATCTTTTATAACAGCTGGAAATCACAGACAAATAGCAGATGAGAGTTCATCTTCATCTGTGATAAAATTCAAGTATGTAACTAAGAAATTAATACATATTGCGTGTAAGATTATGTTGAAAATAGTGCTTGTGTCCAGGTATATTAAACATCATCAAGACAAGAAACATCAAGAGATGATTTAGTCAATGCTAATGATATTATGATAAGAAAAGAAAATGATGTATTACGTATTTGACACCTTCCATTATTTTTTGAACCAAAAAAAAAATGTGAAAAAGATTGTAGAATTCTTTGGAGTTGTCAAATACATTTTCTCATCAGTAATGAAATATGAGCATTATAAAAAAGCGTTAAAAGCAATAGAGTTATTATCAAAGCAGAATCTAAGTGTGATGTAAGAAATTACAGAGTAGAGAATAAGTGAAAAAATTAAAAAGTATTTTTTTAATCAAATATTAATTGTAAGAAAAATCTGTAAATATGTTAAAAATGTAAATTCTTTGGTTATTAATATAAATAATTGTGTATTCTTAGTGGCGGATAGCTAGAAATAAATCTCCACCAATTAATATATTTCTTTTGAATTGTTTTAGGGAAAAAAATATAACAAAATATTTTTGTGTCCCCAACGGCACAAAAATGCGGATCGCCACTGAATGTTATAACAAAGTTTAGAAAAGGTAGTTAGGAAAGCCATTTACTTAAAATAAAATACACACTTAACTTACTAGAACTAAATAAAGAACGGCAGGCTAGTAATGCTTAACATAAAAGGTGGTGGTAGTGTTAACACTACTGCCTATGAAATAGGCCACCACGCGATCCACGACTGTGCTTGAACCCTTCACCCCATACCACTGTAAAAAATGCATAATAAACTAACACAATGTCAAATAAAAAGCATTAATGTAAGACAGAATTCAAATAGGTTCTAAAATCTAAACCAGTATGAGTCAACGATATTATACCTTCCTTAAAGCAATGAGAAATAATATATACACATCACCAAGTCAAGTTTATACAAAAATAAAAAGCAGCGAATGATTTGGGTCTTACCGAAGTAGGTGTGTGGTCATCGTCGTCGCTGTTACTACAGTCAGATGACCAGTTACCACCCTCCAAACATTCAACACTCTCGTCTGTGTGGTTTGCTGTTTCAACGTCGCAACTCATGGCCCTTTGGTGTCCTTCAACTGCCCCTGCCATCGAACCATGTTTCTGAGTTTCCCATGACGTGGTCTGTCTTAAAGGTCTTCAAAAATATATAAACATCATAATTTTCTTTATAAGTAATAATTTACCTGTGAGTAAGAGCGGCATACTGTTTAATTTTTTCTCCTTTTATTTCTTCCAGTTGATTGAACAATACTTTCTTAATTTCGTTTACCCAAGCATGCTTCTGCTCCAAATTCGCTGCCTGGATAATATGAACTTCTTGCCTTCCCTCCAACCAAACTTCAAATCTCCTGGCATCACCTTTTACGCTTTCTGTCAAACCGACTTTTGACATTTTCAAGCACTTTTTAAATTCGTAAGTCGCCTTGTTCCTCTCAGCTTTGGACACAGGTTTGCAGAATAAGAGAGCTTTTTGATAGAGGAATAAATGTCTTCTTAAAGGTTTCAGTCTCAATCTTATATCTTTTTTGTTTTCTACCCAAACAGAAAAAGAGCCTTGAAGTAGGAGTTCCCCTTGTTGGGAGAGATCTTCTGGGAAGCCCGTGATTGATATTTGGTGCATGGAGTCGTTGACGCATTTCAGTACTACCAACATGCACTCGAGGGCTTGTTGCAGTTCTCTGCAGTACTTGCTTTCGTCGGAGTACCTGAGGAGGTCTTTTAAGAGCAACTGGTACTTGGTTATGCGTTGGACTGGTTTGAGAAGGTACGCAGCTAGAGGTAGTTTGTGGCCAAGCTTTTTCTGGCAGGCGATGAAGAAAGGATTGAGCTCGTTGGAACATTCTCTGAGTTGTTCAGATTTCGATATATTTTGACAGTAGAAGCTATACAGCTTAAGGAATTTCTCCCTCTGTTCAAAAAAGTACTTAATATATAAAATATATTGTATCATTAAATAACGTAGGCTTACACACCTTTTGAACAAAACACAATGCAACTAGGTCTGTTGAAGAGATGCAATTCTCCAAGTCTCTGAGAAAATACTCAGAGTGGAAGTGGTAAATGTCATCTAAGTTTCCAAAAATCACATCAAACTTCTCATTGGCGTTTGAAGGAAGCAAATGTTGATGCTCTTCAAGTTGGGCTTCTTCCTTGTAACCCTGTAATAAATATTTAAAGAAATGTCATATAATATTGATGTTTTTAGAGTTTATATATTTATTAGAGTATTTTAGTCCAAGAAAATATAGGCCTTTAAATATGAATTTTTGGTAAAAACTTGAATTTTGCGATATAAATTACTTTGACAGATCTAAAAACGAAATGTGAAAGATTTTTTAAAATTCACCCCCGAGAAGAGATGAAATAAATATATATAATTTTCGAAATTTTGGAGAAACGGTAAGAACTAGAAAAAAAAGTTCAAATAATTTCTGGAGCGTCAACAGTGGCGCATCTAGAGATTGAGTCTTGGGGGGGGGGTAGTGTGAATTTTAAAAAGTACTAAATTTGAATTAAATTTTTGCTGGAAGGTATTGTAACTGTGGAAAAAAATCTACTTGGATTGGTTTGGATATTCTGTTTTTATTATTAACTTTTTTGTAACAATTTTATTTTATACCAAATTTTATCTTATTAATTAATTTCTTTTTTCTTAGGGTTCATAGTTTCATAGTTGTCGATTTTCGAAAGAAATCAGTACATCTATATTATTTCGTATATTTTTCATTTTATTGATTTTATGGAAAGCACTGTTCATTAAAATGTTGTATTCTATGTTATAGGGCTTGTTTCTCTCTACAATTTCCTGTTTCACAATGTACCGTTTGTGTCGGGGAAGGGATCATAGTTTCATAGTTGTCTATTTTCGAAAGAAATCAGTACATGTATATTATTTCGTATATTTTTCATTTCATTGATTTTATGGAAAGCACTGTTCATTAAAATGTTGTATCCTATGTTATAGGGCTTGTTTCTCTCTACAATTTCCTGTTTCACAATGTATCATTTGTGTTCGGGAAGGGATCATAGTTTCACAGTTGTCGATTTTCGAAAGAAATCAGTACATGTATATTATTTCGTATATTTTTCATTTTATTGATTTTATGGAAAGAACTGTTCATTAAAATGTTGTATTCTATGTTATAGGGCTTGTTTCTCCCTACAATTTTCTGTTTCACAATGTATCGTTTGTGTTCGGGAAGGGATCATAGTTTCACAGTTGTCGATTTTCGAAAGAAATCAGTACATGTATATTATTTCGTATATTTTTCATTTTATTGATTCTATGGAAAGCACTGTTCATTAAAATGTTGTATCCTATGTTATAGGGCTTGTTTCTCTTTACAATTTCCTGTCCCACAATGTACCGTTCGTGTCGGGGAAGGAATCATAGTTTCATAGATGTCGATTTTCGAAAGAAATCAGTACATGTATATTATTTCGTATATTTTTCATTTTATTGATTTTATGGAAAGAACTGTTGAACAGTGGCGCATCTAGAGATTGAGTCTGGGAGGGGTAGTGTGAATATTCAAAAAAGTACTAAATTTGAATTAAATTTTTGCTAGGTATTGTAACTGTGGAAAAAAATCGACTTAGATTGGTTTGGATATTCTGTTTTAATTTGTATTATTAACTGTTTTGTAACAATTTTATTTTATACCAAATTTTATCTTATTAATTAATTTCTTTCTGGGAGGGGTAATTACCCCCATTACCCCTCCCGTATATGCGCCCCTGAGCGTCAACCTTTTTTTTGCTCAGATCAAAATTAACCGAGATAGGGGGCTAGAAGCTAGGGGATGATAGTAGAAATTTAAACAAAATATAAGTTGAAAAATTCATATATTTAACATTTTTATTCAATTTGTTTGGAAAATTCTAATTTCAATTAAGATTTTTTTTAAACTCACCCCGAGACGGTGTGAAAAATATAAATAAAGTGTTTTTTTTTTCAAATTTCAGAGAAACGGTTAGGACTTTGAGAAAAATGTTTCTATAAAAGCTGTCCCCTAGCTTCTAGCCACCTTATCTCGGTTAATTTTGATTTGAGCAAAAAAAATTAGACAATTTTTATGTCAAATTGGACGCTCTACAATTTATTTGAACTTTTTTTTCTACTTCTTTCCGTTTTTTCGAAAATTCGAAAAAATAATTTTATTTATAAATAAATTATATAGATTATATAGAATATATAATTATATAGAAATTGTGAATCATAATCATAAGCAGGTAAATATTAATGGAGATTAGATTAAACATTTTTATTGTAAAACACTTTCAGGATTTTCAGTGATTAAAATAAAAATCATAAAAATCTGAAACTTCATATCAACATTATCTTACCTTAATAATAGACAGAAGCTCGGTGACATACACCCTTTCTGTTTCAACCAGCTCACTTAACACATGTCCGGTTTTAATCCTATGTACCTCGTCATGTTCTGGAGAAATGTGTGGTTCTTCACGGACTATGTCTGGTTCGTGATCCAGAGTGGAATCCATCTGCAACAATTCCATGAGCATTATTCATTTCAGTTTATAATTAACTAGTCTGGTCTGTTCGGGACGAATATTCTTTTTTGATAAGCATATAAATAAATATATGCGACCTTCTGTTTAGGCGATAGAGACACTTTTATCAGTGAGTTGAATAAAATCTTGCTTAACACTGACATTGTTCGAAGTGTTAAAAAAAATTGAAAGAATTATTGAATGCAGTATTTTGTAATAGAAACAATCATTTTGATACTATTTCTGATGATTCAACTTCAATTGTTATATAAAATATTAAATGATACTCTAAATAATAATGCTCTTACCGGTGCAGTCACTTTATTTATTAAAATAGGTTCGATACAGTTTGCACGACTGCTAGTAAGCAACAGGGTAAGGTTTTGCTTAGGGTATTGTAAGTCTCAAGGTATATTATTTGCGCTGTATTTAAATTCGTATTCTATATAGATGCCGACTGCTTTCGCGTATGTCTATATTGTTTATTCTGACAAAAGATAAGGCTCTGTGTTTCGGTACAAAACTAAAGGCTTTTCTATTGTCTCAGTTTCAACCATTGTCTGTATTATAAAGTTCACTTTAGGTATGCGAGAGGATAGATTTCATCAAATGTTTATAGAGCATCGAGTATAAATTTAAATAAAAGAAAAATTAAAAACATTTTTGGCATCAAATAATATACTATACCTTTGTGACGGGTTCATTTCTTAACGAATTAAAATTAAATATCACAAACGGTAATATACAGGGTGGAAATAAAAGTGGCAAAAAAATCACGAGCTGATGTTGCAAAGTAGATTTTTTAAATTTAATTCTTATAATAGTTCTTATATCTAAAACTGTTCCATGATATTATTTTACAGTTTTTAAAACCATTAATGTACCAAAAAAAAATTAACAAACCATGCTAAACTTGATATTTTTTCACAATGAATACAAGTTAACCTGTCTGAAAAAATCTATAAATTATATTAAATAAGAAGGAAATATAAGAAGTGTTTCAAGACAATTCTAAAATGTAATGAAAATCAAATAAAAAAAAATAAAAAACTTTTTAAATGATTTAAATTTTTTTGGAAATACCTGTAAACTTAACTGCATTTATAAACACTGTTGTAGAGAAACTAACAAATAACAATGTATGTTACACAAGGAAAATTACATAGAAAAATGTAAAATTCAGATTTATCAGTTTAAAAAAAGATGATAACATTTTTGTGTTGTAAACTCAAGTTGTTTTTTCAATAGAAAATTCATTATTGTTCAGCTGCGAATATTTTGTCGTGACTGACGTAATTCATAGAGGAAATATTTTTTTTTTGTGATATCAATTAAAATTGAGAAAATAATAATAAATGAACAAAATACATACAGGCACGAGCGAATAGAAAAATCCATCACAAAATCCGTATTGGTGTTCGGCAATGAAAATTTTCGAAAAAATAAACTTTTCGTTTTCCCAGCGACACTTGCTCATTTTTTGAAACCGTTTCGAAGAACTACCGGAGAAGAACCGACTGAAGAAGAACCTCTGTGTCGTCCGAAATTTCTTCAAAAACTGGTTCCCGATTGAGAACAAATCTGTAATCGGACCGTATCTTGACCGGCCAAAAAATTGATCAAAAACCACCGTTTACGTTAAATTATTCATTATTACAATCGACTGTGTCGAAATGGACCCAGGAAGCTATTCCACTTATTTTTTAATGATCTACCGGTTTTACAAACAATCCGTGCCATAATAATCTACGTAATAGCGCACTAAATGTTTGTTGTAGAAGGCGACGCATGCTGTTTGATCTGGAAAAATATACATTCTTTCATTTCCATGTTTTCACAGCACTGTACTGTTTATCCATCAAATGTTTACTCTACGTACTTAAAAAACTTAAAATTATGGTAATTTACTGTTATTATTGATAAAAATTATACAAACACCCGCAACACGTACATATGTATACAGGGTGTCCCAGGCTGAGTGTGCATTAGAAGTTTCGAGAGAACTACAATATCTAGATCAAAATCTAGTTTCAAAACGAGATCTATCGATTAAAAATATTTTCAATATGGCGGCACTTTCGGAAATACCGAAAATTGACAGCAACTTTCTTATTTTAAATGGGTACCCCCATTTTTTATTACACACTTCAATTCTCTGTGAAATTTTTCTGGATTTTGATATTAAATACCCTAAAATTAATCGTTTTTGAGAAAAAAATATTTTAGCTACAGCCAATATTACATACAGGGTGAGTTTCCTACGATGTTCTCTATGGGTATCTCGGAAACTACTGGAGATAGAGAGTCAATTAAATGGGGAAAGAATTGCAGTTTTGTGTCATAAATATGCGCTTTTCAGATTTTCGAAAAAGTTCATGGCTTACTAGATATTTCGAAAAAAACAAATTTTGGCTATTTTAAAAATTGTCCCTAATTCCATTATAATCTATTTTAGACAAAAAGTTTTCAGATAAAAGTTGTAGATAATCACATCCCTAATGAGATTGTGTTCTCCGATTTTTTTTCTAAAGCCTGTCATTTTTGACATATGACACAAACATATGTTTTTTTAAATGGAAACCATAGTTGGCCATGACTTCATAAAAAAGCGCCGTTTTTAAGCTTTCCAACGATATAAGCTATAACATGTTTCTTTCGCAAAATTACTGAGTTATAACCAATTCTTATCTTTCTTGACTAATTTCACTTGGTTAGCCATGGAAACAAGTTCAATCGTCGTTGCTCTCAGAAATGTGAAATTGTCACATCCAATCTTTGTAAATTAACATAAACAAAAATTGTAAATAAGAGTTTTTTAAATGAAGAACAGCGTGTAGAATTATTGGTTCAACTTTTCTTGGCCATACAGTTTCGAGGATATGTTGACCGGTGAACGTTACGTTTTTTAGAAAACGGTTTTCAAGACATGTTAGAAAAGTTTAATTTAGATGCTCGCGCATTAATACAGTGGTTTCAACATGTCTTTCATTATGACGTACCAACCCCCCTCCCCTACAATGAAAGAAATGTTATTTAAAAAATTATTTATATCCTAATTATGTAGACTCAGGGAGGTGGACCAATTGCATGGGTCTCCTCGGTCACCTGACCTATCCATTTTAGATTTTTTATGCGGTATGGTTAACAACAAGGTTTACAAAAAAACTTATGAATTAAGAGAGGCACTCGAAGAGGCGGAACAGGAGAAGTTTAATTAAGGCGACCGGTCGTTCTGTGACAATAGCTAGAAATTCAGTTTTAAAAAGATGCATTTATGTACTTAAAATAATTGCGGATTTTTTGAACATTTTCTAAAATAACTTAAAGTGTACGTAGTGATATTATTTTTTTGAGTTTTAGTTTGTGTAAGCTAAATTGTAAAGAGCCGTTTAATAACATATTTTGTCTTTTTATAAGTTATAAATCACAACAAAATTTGAAAACCATTGAAAACCGTTCTCTAAAAAACGTAAGTAATTTTCACCGGTCAACGTATCCTGTATGGCCAAGAAAAGTTGAACCAATACTCCTACACGCTTTTCTTCATTTGAAAAATTTTTATTTACAATTTTTGTTTATTTTAATTTACAAAGACTGGATGTGACACAATTTCACATTTCTGAGAGCAACGACGATTGAACTTGTTTCCATGGCTAACTAAGTGAAATTAGTCAAGAAAGATAAGAATTGGCTATAACTCAGTAATTTTGTGAAAGAAACATATTATAGCTTATATTGCTGAAAAGCTTAAAATATGGCGCTTTTTATGAAGTCATAGCCAACTATGGTTTCTATTTAAAAAAACATATGTTTGTGTCATATGTCAAAAATGACAGGTTTTATAAAAAATCGGAGAACACAAACTCATTAGGAATATGATTATCTACAACTTTTATCTGAACACTTTTTGTCTAAAATAGATTGTAATGGAATTAGAGACAATTTTTAAAATAGCCAAAATTTGTTTTTTTCGAAATATCTAGTAAGCCATGAACTTTTTCAAAAATCTGAAAGGCGCATATTTATGACTCCACAAAACTGCAATTCTTTCCCCATTTAATCGACTCTCTATCTCCAGTAGTTTCCGAGATGCCCATAGAGAACATCGTAGGAAACTCACCCTGTATATGACACTGGAACAATTTAATTTTTGAAATAAATAGCCACATATTTTCTCTTTATGTCACAGTGTCTGTGGTAATCGCTAAATTTGACGTTTAAATTTTACATTCAGTTTTTTTCGTCCAAAAATTTTAAATATTTTTTTTTCAAAAAACGGTTAATTTTAGGTATAGAGTGTTTAATATCAAAATTCAAAATATTTTACAGAAAATTTAAGTATGTAATAAAAATTGGGGGGTGCCCATTTAAATGAACCCCCCCCAGTGAAAATATTTTTAATCGATAGATCTCGTTGTGAAACAATGATGTGCAAAAAATCTCCGATCTAGATATTGTAGTTCTCTGGAAACTAGTAATGCAGGCTTAGCCTGGGACACCCTGTATATAACAGAGTGAGACTTAAATAAGCGCACATATTATTAGAGGTTAAAAAAAACTCCAGTGATTCTGAAAATTTAGGCAAAAAAATTAGGTAATAAATACTATATACATTTAGGTATAAAATATAATATTTTCAAAGTAAAAAAACTTTATTTTGGACATATTTGAAAAACGGTAAAGAGAAAATACGGCCTTGAAAATATGAAAGCTTATTTAAGACCCACCCTGTATAGAGCGAACCAAAATTACAATATACCTATTCAGGTTGCTAATAAAGGGTATTTTATTTTATAATTTTATAAATATCTATAATTCGATAAAAAATTGAGTTGGAATGTATTATTTTATTTAATATGCGTGTAGAAGAATTCCAGTACGACTAGCTCATATTAATTTTTAAAATATGTTTTTCTCAAATCATCTGATCTGTTCCCAATTTTAATTTGGTCAGTCAGTGGGCCATACACATTACTTCGGTGGTTCGTAATTTCCATAATTTATCATAAATATCACATTATTTAAATTTTTCCGATTTTTTTCTTTGGCATAAACAGGAGGTATTTGTTTGTACGGATTCCTTTAGAAATATTATCGAAAAAATGCATCTGTTTAACACCAACCTATTTTTATAATCATATTATGTTTTGATAAGAAAATATGGATTTAAAGCAATATAATGTTATTTGCGGATTTAGGATAGATTTGTTTGATTAAGTAATGTGTCGTTTTTTGTTTACATAACAACATACAAAATTTCTGCTTTCTCCAAATTCCTACAATTTGTCTTATTTTTCCTTATAGTCCAGTAGGCAATGAATAGTTTTTGTTTGTCTCCTAGTGGGTGAATATTAGAAGTCCCTAGATAAAAATTAAAAAAAAGTTCACTTATTTTCCCACCCATAAATATGTATTTGACATTTATTAAATTCAATCATTTTATTAATGGAAATAAATGTCTGGCACATCCCATGCAGAGGAAACTCAGCCTGGGTGAAAAATTGCGGATTTTAAAATTTTACAGATTTTTGAAATCCGGAACCCTTATTTTCCCATGCTTAAAACTTAACGTATCATTTGATAATATCATAAACTAATAAATAATAATAAATAATCATAAGCTAGTTTGGCTAGAAATTGGCAAGTGAGTCTGGAGGCATTTTTGAAAATTGCAAAAATTACAAAATTTTCTCCGATTTGAGAATTTGTCACATGATAAATAATACTGTAATTTCATAGAAAATACACGTCTGGTTGTCATTCACAATCACGAAAGCCTCCCCCCAGACTCACAAGTCAGGTAGTTTAAATGAGGAGAGTAAGCGACATTGTATATTTGAACATACCGAATTTAGCGCGCCTGACGAGCGTTGGACGAGTCTGGCAAGGCTTTCCAGATGTTCCACATTAGCCAGACTATATTTTCAGATGTAATTATAATATTAACCATCATTTGACAAATTTTTAGAACTGCGAAAATAAGGTCAATGGTTTTAATAATTTTTATCCAATTTATCGAATAATTCTATGGCTGTTAGTTGACTAGAAAAATAAGCACTGCTTCCTAGACTTTTATAGTAGGAGTAATATGTTACATTCAATAAAAAATATATAAAATAAAGAACTCACCTTAGGAATGGTGTATGCCTTTCTCAAAAATGAAAAGTTTTTAGGATGCGGGGCTCCTACAAGGGGTTGCCTAGGAACTGCCGGTTCAGGCATCACTGTTTGGACAGGTCTCTTAGTCCTTACCGCCAATTTGCTCAAGCTGTTTAATCTTTTGTCACACATAAGGGCCACATCTTCTATCCTCTGAAGCACCTGTTCATGAAGTAACCAGCGTATCATATCAGTATCACAAAATTAATAAAATATTATTGAAAACTTACCTGTGATACCAGTGCCTTAGTTTCCGGGGTTATACTTTCTTGGAAGAGTTCTTTGAAGTCTTTTTGACCGTTGGATGAAAAGTCTTTAGCAGTATTGAGGAAATCGCGTATTTCACATACGTATTTTTCGGCCAAGTCAGGAGAGTTCGAACACTGCTCGATTTTTTGCGATGCCAAAAGATCTCTGCCTATAGCACACCACTTGTTTGCCTATATAATAAAAATTTGTATATCAAGACCAAAATATTTAACTAATTTTCCCTTCTTACCTTTTCAATTCCTTCCATAAGTTCTCGATTTTTTACCAACATGTCCTTCCTCTTCGACAATCTTGTTAAGAGCATATCTTTCATTCTAAGAAGCTCGTTGCACTTGGGTTCTACACAGTCTATCGGACAAGAATTTTTAATTCTCATTAGTAAATGGCCCGAAGAAACTGCCTCTTCAGCTCTCTGAATATCGTTTAAACAAATCTTCTCAAAAGAATTGGTCTCTTTTATTAATGTATCAACTCTGGAAACTGTTTCGCCTATTTCAGTCATATCCGAGACAGTTTTTAAAGCTGAATCGAAGTTAACTTGTAATTCCTTGAAGTCTTGCTCGAATCGACGAAGTTCTAAACAATGTCGCAATTTCGCCGAGTGATGTTGCCAGAACTCATCGAAAGTTTTTTCGGTCTCTTCTAACTGAACCAGCAATCTTTCAACTGCGAATACGTTTCCTGTCATGTCCGAGGCAGTGTTGTCACTATCGGAAGAATTCTTTGATTTAATGCAGCGCAGAAGATCCTCTCCTTTCTTAGCTGCAGACAATATTTCTTTTTTTAGATCAGAGTAAGATTCGTTCTGTTTTATTAAGAGCTCCTGAGTGGAATCCACGTTATTGGGAAGTTCAGTTTCGTCAACTTGTTTGGTGAATTCGTCAAGAGCGTTCGATACTTGTTGAGTGACGTTTGAAAAATTTTCTAATTCAATTCGTTGAAAAATCCATTCTTCGTGGTTGTAAGAGAGGCTGCCTTTTAAATCGGCAGTAAGTTGGTTAGGACTGACGTATTCGTGGAGTTCTTCGGCAGTGCTGAGTACGACCATTCGGAATTTGAACTCGTCCTTGAATAGTTTATTGCTGACTTCGGAAAGGGCTTTCTGAAGGAAGCTGGTGGGTCGAAGGACGTACACCACGTGGATAAGGCCAGGAAAAAACACGGAAATCTTGAGTAAAACTGCTTTAACGGAGTTCCAGCGGTCTTTACGCCTGTCTATGATTAAGTGGAAGCCCATATCCGCTTCTTGAAGCCTGGAAAATCAATGTCATCTTCCAATATGTGTAACTATAAATTTATGTTGCATAGTAATTTTTTAAAAAAACTTTATACACCAAATTTTACATAAAACTATTGTTAGTGATATGAAAAATATACTTAACAATTATTGATAAACAAATTATAAAGAACTGGAAATATTTTAATTTGATCTGGGTAAAATATTTAATGAATATTAATAGTTTTATTCGAATTTTTTCTCTAAAAATCCGATTCTTGTAATAACGGTAATTCTAGTTTATTAATTTTGACCTAAACTTGAACTGACATCGTTCGACATTTTTTGTATAAATAATATTATTCAAATATTCGACATCAAAACATTTTTTTATTCGTTTTTTTTTAAATATAACTTACAATATCTTAAAATATAAAATGTACTTACGTAGGTACAGACGTTAAGTACAGCATAAGCCGTTGATACTGAGCATCGGTGATCATGTGGAAATTGTTATTATCGGGAAAAGTAATGATTGGACTGCCGTCTTTCGATTTACCACCTGAGATAATAGCGTAATGGTGCTTTAATATATCAACCACATCATTTACTCCTAACGGTTCCAAACTAACTGTATTTTGCATTTCTATTTCTTCGCAGGTTGGCAGAGGTTCTTCTGAAATGATAATAAAAACAAATTATATGTTATGCCGGTTTCTGTGCGGCTCAGCTTGCTTACAACTGCGAATTTTCAATGGAAACTATCGAAAACATATTTGCCGTAAACACAACACTCTTAAACAGCACAGGTCTCGTAGGTTTACGGTCTTGGTCTTTTTTTAAATGAAAGTAACCATGGAGAATTACTACTGATAGTGTAGTTAATTTTTGGTCTATTTTTTAAGTTTTTATAGAATGTTAAAATAAACCAGCAAATTTATTAAATATTTTTCAAACATGAAAGTTCTTTAAAATAAAAAAAAAATATTTAAGAAAAGAGGGTTATCATGAATCACGACATCAAGAGCTGCAACAAGTCAGTTTTAAAAATACTTAAATCTTAAGTCATTTCTTATCTCTTTCGTCTTATCTCTTTGACTTAAATAATTTTATTTCAAGTCATTTTTGCAATTTAACGTTATTTGAGTCGTTTTTATGTCTTAAGTCTATATTTTTGACTTAATTAAATCATGATTATCTGCAAGTTAAGTCAGTAAAATGACTGAAATCAATATAATTGCCCTCAATTATATTATTAATTTGTTATACGTACATATAAGAATAAAACCACATAAAATAAAACGATTTATTTTCAAAATAACTACAAACAATAAAATATAAAAAAATGCCGCGGTTAAAGATTTATCATAATAGTATATGAAAATTCTGACTTAAATTATTTCTAAAAAGACTTAAATCTTTTCTAAAATGACTTAAGTCTTTTTAAAATTCAGGATAATTACTTAAATCACAAATTATTTTGAAAATGACTTAAGATAAAGAAAGAATGAAAGAAAGATAAGAAAATAAAATGGCTTAAGTTATTAAAATTATTTAAATAAAAAAAGACTTAAGTTTTCTGTGCGGTTGCAGCTCTGCTGACCGTTAAACATTTATTTTCAGGATTCACACATTCGTGGAATGGGCCATTTCAAGAATATTTATAATTATTAGCATCTGTTTTGTGCTAAATATATTGAAATATCGATTACAAAAGTTGTCACCGTTCACACCAATCTCTATGGGATTATAGGACGTGCGTTTTTTAGTAATACTAGGCTTTCACCATTTTAAGTCACATAACTTGTTTATTTTCATACATAAATCATGTCTATTGCTGTGAGGCACTATAAATTTTGATTTATTCCAGCCATGACTTACTGTAAAATTAATTTAAGCGATCTGCAAAAAATTGCTGACCCCTATGCAGGTGGTAGATTTATCGACATTTTTTGGATTAAAAGAATTTTAAGGCTGTTAACAGGAGAAAAGGTTACATAATTCAGATAATATTTCGTTAACTTTCACTAGCAATGGGTTGAAACGATATTGATTATTAAGATACTAACCCAAATCTCAGTTCACGCTAAATTAAATTCAACCATGTGCAACACATCAACATAAATGTGCATCTGCTAGACTCATAGGAGTGTAACCATAAAAAATGCACACTTAATAACTGTATAAATGAAATTACACAACTAGTATTTTTAGACTTTTTTATTAAACACAGAAAAACTTTACATTTTTTATTTTAAAACAAGTGGAATTATTATTATTTATCAAAATATCTGAAAAATGAGCAACAATAAGGAAAATCTTAAAAAACCCTAAAACTACATATTAAAGATAAAAAATAAATTATTTACTTAGACTGTGTGCTACTCTATGTACAGGCCTTAGATTATCTTATGTAGAGAAACATATCACATTTAAGTTTTTCGTTACTACAAACTAGATAGATGCAACAAATTTATTTATTTTTTCTATAGTCATCTGGATTTTGTATATCTATCATTATTATCATTAAGTAACTTTATGGCAAGGGTTATTTTAATTTCAATTTTAGATTGATAAAAAATAAGTCTCGAAAACTTACAAAGTAATACTGATCAACATGTATTAATATTTTTAAGTACCGAAATTTTGTCCTGAAATTTTTGTTAAATCTAGTTTTATATAAATAAAAAACACGAATATGGAAGGACTATGTGTCTTTTTTTTTCAGTCTAATATTTGGATTTTTCTAATTTATAAACGAAAAGAGTATATCGTCAGAACAGAACTTTTTTTTCTAAAACTACTAACATCACAATAAAAAATAACTTAAAACTAAGAAACAAACTTTGTACTTCACTGTAACCTGCCAAAATATGGCGTGTGCTGCCCATTTGCCATAGTCGTCACTATATTATTTTGATCATTAATCACATAGCCCGCATTTGTGAGCTGATACGAGAAAGTATTGCCCGTATTGTGGTTAGTTGTATTTTGAGAAGTTACCAAATTTGTATTTGATATAAGCTGAGGTACTGGAGTAACTAAAAATGTCTGCTGATGGTGCTGATTGGTACTGTCAGTAGGAGCGACCACCAGAGGTATAACTTGCTGGACTTCGTTGTTAATCACGCATTTTTGAACTTGCTGGACAGCCTGTTCCCTTGGCCTCTCTATAGTTTGTATTTGTGGGGGAGCTGGCTGTATTTGAGGCTGAATTTGGACCGGTTGCTGGACATGCTGGGTTTGGTTGTGATGCTGACCGGTGTTTTTCGATTCGTTCTTTGAGAATTTCACGTGAGGGAACTGTTCCCTCATAAAATGCCGGAAAGTTGAGTAGCCCATTAGCTTGATACCTGGCTCCAAGATTTGACCATATTCTTTGTAAGCGTCATGTAAATTTTTCCTTGTTACATCCCATCGAAGCTGTATGGGCTGTTTGGTGTTTAAAATATCTCTTTCGCCTGTATGTTGTTCGAGATATTGTTTCAAAAATTCCCTGGCGTGACAGTAAATATCCAGCGAGAAAGTATTATGCGGTTTCTTGCCATAGTTACCGTGAATTCTCGGCGTTACACCGTGTGTCATTACATGTTTTCTAATCCTCTTCAACTGATAATGCGTGCAGTTTTCTAAATACAGGAAAGCATCCAAACAGACCCTCCTACCCTGGTAAACGTACTGAGCCCTGAGCCTACGCCTTTCTCTATGGCGCACTGTCGTATCAGGGTTGGCCAAACATGCCATAGTCACCCCCATAAGATACATGTCGTGTTCCCCCTTGGTCAGTTCAGCAATGTTGTGACGGTGTTTGAATACAGTCTCTGGGTTCAACCCTCTGAAGCAGCTCTCATCCTGACACTCGCATCCGCGTTTAAATATTTCTTTGACTTGCAAAGGGCTTTCTTCAAGTTTTGTGGGTTCACTTAGTGCTACGCCTACAGTTTTCTTCTTTTTCTTTGGTGGAGCTTTTTTCTTCGTGGTACTATTCGAAGCGGGAGCTTGTTTAGACTTTCCTGAAGATTTTGGTTTGGGTTCCGGAAGAGATTTGGGTGGTTCGGGTTCAATTTCGTCAGGTTCGTCGTCTTGCATTGGATGACCATTATAAATGGCATTAATACTGTTCTCTATAGGGTCCACTATGGCGTGCCCTTCCCAAATAACCTGAAATAATTTTTTTTGTAAAAGAAATTGGGGTTCAAAAATAATGTAGTTTCCTCACCACTTGTTGGTCATCTATGGTATTTGCAAAATGAGCTGAACCATCGATAGCAGAGAATAAGGAATGTGATATAGATACAGGAGTGTACTGAATAGTTGCTTCTCCATTGGTTATATCAGCAGAACCATTTGTTTGGAAGGTATGAGTTGAATGATTATCGTTACCATCTACGATAATTTCTTGTTTCTCCACCCTTTCCACTGATAATAAGCTATGGAGAACTTCGCTAGCTTCCTTTTCAGCTGCATCTTCTGCCATATCACAACTTATTATCTCCTATAATTTAAATATAAGAAAAAAAATTAAAATGGAGTCATTTAGATTATTTTTTTTTGAAATTAGGTATCTTAGAAAATTATTATTTAATAAAATTAATTATTATTATCTGTTATTTTATTATAATAAAATAATAGAAAAAATATAATAGTTATATTTTTCATGATTTTTTAAAAGATGGTTCTAAATAAGTGTATATTTTTAATCGAGACAATAATAGCGGTAAATTTTGTTTATAAACAAACTATTTCGAATTCTGGCTAAGACCGCAACTTAGCCACGATAAAAGGAAGCCCAGTTTTACGCGAAAACCGTCTTTATTGTATTTCCGAAGAGCCGAGAATCGCGTGTAGACAGACAAATTTCAGCCGTATTGATATCGATTACAAACATAAATATCTTACCTTTTTTGCTGTTTTAAATGGACATGGGCCTTCAAATCACATCGGAAATCGTAGACACCGCACTTTTACACAGTTTTTCATTGGAAACTCTCAGTTTGTACACTTATTTATGTCAATTTTTCACGAAAAACTCCAGTAAATTATTGACGAGTTTGGCTTGCAAGTACGCCATATTGGTTTCGTCGATTTGGTGGTTTCAGTTGCACGGAGCTTCAAGCAGTTCGCGCCTGCGCCTTCCAAACGGCGGCTTGTCAAAGACACGCATTTGAGTGCTATATATCCGTTAAAATTTTGAAAAAGCATGCACTTCAATGAAAATAATAATTAAATATGATTCGTTTTTACATTTTTAATAGAAAATAGGATGGTAGGTAGGTATACAAATGAGCAAAGGTTTAGGTATGATTTTTTTCTTTGAAAATGTCCCTTTAGTATTACGGTAAAAGATGGTTCAAGAACCTTAAATTGATTATTGTGGCCAGGTCAAAAGGAACCATCACACGGGTTCGTCTCAAGGTACCCGCTTATTTATTTTTAAACCTCATTGATATTCCGAGGGGGGCAATGCCAGTATTTACTAAAAGCCTACACTGAATTTTAATTCATTAATTTGTATGGGCCACAAATAGGGTGCTAACCATAATAAAACAATTTTTTGGATCACAGGCGTCAAATACTGTTTTCAGTTGAAAATAAATATTTTTTGAAAATTTTACTAAACATTTTGAATTTAAAATTTAATGCCAAACTTGATAACCTTGAGTTAGTTCTATGTAACAGTTAATTTTATGCCCATCATCACACTAAAAAAACTACTAATTATTAAACATACGTCATATAAGATTAAATCAATTTTAGTTTCTGTATTCAAATTAATTGTATTTTTTTTGTGTAGCACAATTAAGTAAGAATTTTATTTATTATAAAAATTAGCTGTATGTCTTATTTCACTGACAGTGTTAAAACATTATTTTCATCTATGAATTACTAAAGTAATTATTTTTGAAATTGAATATGTGAGTATTTCAGGTTAAGTTTTGCATTATAATGGGCATTTTTTAAATTTAATACCTAGAAAAATAAAATCATATAAAAATGCTACTTACTAATTTTAATTCGGATCTTCATTAGAGACATTAGTTTGAACTTTTCTTATATTTTTTTAAGTGTATTGATAAATAGTTTTGTACGACAAATAACCTACAATGTTTTGTTATGTGAAAACAACCTTGTGTTAGGCTGGAATAGGAACTAAAGGTAGAAATTTTTACAACAAATAATAGCGTGCCTCTATTACGTATAATTTAATTTTATCTGTTTAATCATTAACCGCAAAACTAAATTAATTATTTTGTAAATTTTCGGCCGAATTATTTGTTTATGTTCCTAATGATTTTATTAACCGATCCTACTACAAACAACTAATTTTCTCTCGCAGATTGTAATATATTATCGAGTTAAAAAATTTATATAAAAAAAAATCAAGTATTGGGAAAGTTCTCTAGTAATACTGAATAGTAAGTAGCACTCATATTACTTAATTCATCTCTTATAATCAGCAGCATCATTTCATAATTTTTATTTAAATTTATAAAGAATATAATCCTAAAGCCATTATTATATCGTGTAGGTTAAAAATTCGACGTAAAAATAATTAATTTAAACTAACTACATCATTAATCTGTTATTTTTATATAGACTGGCTACAAAATTAGATCAGCTCTGTTGAAGATATTAATTCGCAATTACTAGAGCAGTATTTTGGAATTTTTAATGTTAACTTTTAATGGCAGCATTATTACACAGAATTAAGTATTTTTCTTTCTACCTAAACACAGTTGTAGCAAAATATATTGATTTTTCGATAACCTATCTACTAAAGAGTTATTTTCTGAGATATACTTGCAAAATAAAACAATATCAGCAAATTGCACGTTAATAACAAGGTAGTTGAGAGAAAGTCCATAAGGCATAATGAAATCCTAATCATAATATGTGGCATGAGAAAAAAATGGAAATTACATGAAATACTTACATAAGGTTCCAGGTCAACTTATGAGAAATCTATCTCTATTGTTTCTTGTAGAACTCGTCAATTATTTTACCACTTTTTTTTATAAAGGAAACAATTTACTACTATCTATGAAAAGTATCATCCTGTATGAATGAGAAATCTTCATTTAATATGATACAATAACAGAGAAGTATTGAGTTGCAAAGCCCAGAAAGCTGTTTCATTGCCAGGTTATCTTTTACTGACATTATGCAAAAAGCCTTATCTAAACTTTTATCAGAGTTTCTATTTGTAAAGTAGATATAGGTATGGCAGAGCGATTAGCTAGATGCCATTCAAAATGATTTAAAGTTTCATGGGAATAGTTAATTTTTATGATTTAATTTGTTTTTGATTCTTGAATAATCTATTTTGAATTATTAAGATTTCTTAGTATCCAAATTTCTTTATTGTATATACAGGGTGAGTCTTAAATAAGTGCAAATATTTTCAGGGCTGGTAGACCTCGACAAAAGAAGCTTATTTTCTCTTTATCTTACTTTGAAAATTAAAAAAAAATCGCTTAAATTTTGAGAAGCACTGGATTTTTTTCTGGAATTTCTTTCCTGTAAATTTAATCTATTATCTGTGTTACCATATTATGAAGATATTATGTTTGCTAACCAAAAATTAAAAAAAAACAAAAAAAATTTGCGAAAAAAACGCCATTATCGTGTTACTGTTAAAATATGTTTGCACTTATTTAAGACTCACCCTGTAGATAAAAAATCCTGAGTCTCCTTTTAAAAGTCGTTAAACTGGATGTCCAAACATTTTAACCGTTCCAGAGAGGAAGTTCAAAATTAATCTGGATTGAACGAGTTGCGCTGTCATCATTTGGATCCTCCAAGTGATAATCTAGGATTAAATTTATGTACGAAAACATCTATAAATTGTGGAAGAAGAAAAAAAATTCTTTTGGATAGCCTCAAATATTTGAAAAAAACATCACCTTTTTTTTTGGGCTGGAAAGTTTTGATTTTTATTTTTCCAGGTTTATCAGTACTTATCTGTGATTAGTTTCAATATCTAATTGATTTTTAATTAAATTCATTTTCGTTTCTTTCATGATATTTATTTTACTTCTTAACATTTATTGATTTATGATATGAAATTCTCTTCAATTACCGTTGGTTTATTTAGTATTTGATAAATATTATAAACGCTGGAGGTTGTTAACATTTCATGAGTGTTTTAATGAAACATTGAAACATGGTACGCTCAACGGTGCAAAAGCGCTAAATTTATGCATTAAACATAAACTTCGCGTGTTATGATCTGAAGAAAAATATTTAGATTTGCAAAAATGTCTGAAAAAACCTCTGACGTAATTTCAAAAATCTGAAGTAATTCTGATTTCGTGTGTGTGTTTTAAGCCCCTGTCAATACTGGTTAACAGCTTAAATTGCTATAGTTACTTCTCAGAACTGAAAACCCTTTTATCTAAATAAATATGCATTTTGGTGTAATGAACTTGGACGACATATGCATACCGGTGACAAATGACAAGCCTATATACATTATTAATGCTTCTAAGTGAAAAGGTTCTTTGCTATTCACTCAAAGTATGTTTGTACACAAAATGAATTTTTATGTCGGTGGAAAGTTGGCTATAACTAACCTACCTACTGACTTTTTTTAAGAAAGCTCTTAAAAGTTCTATGTTTTTAGTAATTAAAATATTGATTATAACTTCAAATAACTTGTGTCGTCCCTATAATTCACACGCTATAATATATATAAGGGTGCATATTAAATCGTATTTATTTGTATTGAAGCATTTGCTACGTGTATTCGTTTGATTTTTAGGACTTTTAGTTATATCTGAATGTTTTTCTTGACAATACTGTCTAAAATAACTGAAGCATTGCAAATTAAGGCGAATGTCATTCACCAAAAAGGGGTGCATAATAATTGAACCAATTATTTGCATTTATTCTAGTTAAATTTTAGGACTTTTAACTGAATTTATTTAGCATTAGACTGAACATTTTTATTTATTCAACCACCACCGCTGATTGTTGATTTGAATGAATGAAACAATGTTGTTTGTGGCTCCTACCTGGAGAATCTGTTTCTAAGTAGGAGCTCCTGGATCTCTCCAAGCTGACTCGGTCCTCCATGGCTTTGGAGGCGCTGCGTTTGAATTGCTCCAAAAAGCAATCGATCTGCGTCTCCAGGCTTGATTCGGCCATAGCTTCACCAGCATACCAGCACGGACATTAGGTGTCATCTTTTTTGGCCATCGATATGTCGCAAAAACACTCTTCGGGCATGGTTTCACTTTAATAGAGGCATTCAGCCCCCAGAAACCCAAAGAGGGCACTGGTCGAATAGTTTGAGTCCGCTGTTTGGATGCGCGGCTGTACACACCGGTCGTGCAGGACCGTATCACTTCAAATTCGATAGTTTATTCGTACAAAGAAGCACAATTAAACCAGTAATACATATACGTCAAACAAGAATTAATTATGAATGGAATCGGGAAAAGGGGATGATTTTAAACTCTGATAGGGTCGAAAAAAACGGTGGAATAGGTTTGACTCGGCAAATTACCTTAAATTGACTAGAGAGACTATATTCTCCTATTTTACACCTTTCAAGTAATGTTAATAACGTTAATAACAGTAGATTTATCAAAATCAGCAACTTGACCAAGAGCGCCAATTTTTATTTTGTGCTCATTTTTAGTCACTTTCAAGGCGCCCAGAAAGATAGTAATTATAGAGATAAAATTATGAAAATTTCAGGATTTGTAGATAATTTAATGAAGTTTTTGAAAATATAAGCTTCCAATGTCTTAAAGGCTCTGGTTTTAATAGGAAGTCTATTTTTTCAACCGTTGTTTTTAAGCTATTTTTTTGATGCTTAAAATTTCCCCTACGTCTAATACTGTATTCGTCAGCTTATAATCGCCTATATTTTCGTAATCTGTGCCTTTTAATTAGTAAATAACAGCAGTTTTACCAAAATCGGTGACTTGACCAAAATCGCCAATTTTCATGAGTCGAAAAGGGCGAAAAATTGCTCATTTTTTACTCATTTTTAAGGCGCTCAGAGATATAGTAATCATTGAGATAAAATTATAAAAATTTTGGGATTTGTAGGAAATTTAATGCACTTTTAGGAAGTATAAGCCTTCAATGTCTTAAATGGTTTGGTTTTACTAAGTCGATTTTTTCAACCCTTGTTTTTAAGCCATTTTTTATTAGGCATCCTTTATGATGCCTCTATTACTGTACTAAGCCCACAATGGCCTATATTTTCGTATTCTGTTCCTTTTGAGTAATAAATAACGGCAGTTTTACCAAAATCGGTGACTTGACCAGAATCGTCAATTTTCATGCGTCATTTTTGGCTATTTTTTACACATTTTCAAAGGCTTTAGAAAAATAGTAATCATAGCCATAAAATTATGAAAACTTCAGCATTTGTAGGAAATTTTATGTAGATTCAGAATATATACGCCTTTATAAAGCTTAGACATCTTGGTTTTGTGAGAAAATTAATTTTTTGAACCCTTGTTTTCGAGCTATTTTTCATGATGGTTAAAACTTTCCCTACATCCATTACGGTTCCAGTAAGACTACAATGACCTAGATTTTCTTATTCTATGCCTTTTAATTAATAAATAACAGAGTAGTTTCATTCAAATCGGTGACTTGATCAAAGTGGCCAATTTTCACTTCAGATACTTAAAAATTGTTAATGTTTTGGTTTTAACTAACTCATTTTTTTTTATTGCAGATACCTAGGAATGTTATAATAAGACATATCAGAAAAGACAGATCCACAGAAAGGTGAGTTACAATTAAGATATATAACACTTCTCGATTTTTCTAATAGAAATAAATGACCTAAGATATCTAGAATTTTTTCTCTTATTTCTACGTATCTTCCTTAATACAGTACTGTACATGATGTTAGACAACCCGTTGTGCGTTGAGTAAAGTACTGCCCGTGGTACTGCCTTAACTGGTTGCCTAAAGTTAATTTTTCTAAGCAGATAAATTTAAAAAGAATTTTCTTGTTCTGAGTTAGGTCACTTTTATTTCTTTTACTATAATAATAAGTTTACGTGTTTGATACATAGAAAGAATTCCTCTCAACGTCATATTTTTATCATTGGTTTTTGATGCATATATTCGGTAATTTTATGTCAATAATAGATAATTTACGAGTTATAAATTATTTGTTTTTATCAGTAATTACGTTATTTTTAGACAGAAATGTAGTATTATTTTACTGCCTTGGAGATACTACATAATTTTGGTAATATATAATATTGTTTATGTAATAAAAAGCGTTATTACGTTATTTCATATATATACCGTATGATTAAAAAAAACCGCGTACAGTTGGCTTGGAAATCACCGATCGTTGATATTCTCCTTCCCCATATAATTTTACATATAAAATAACAACGATCTTTATTTCAGCGCTGTCGCTGACGCCTTTTTTTCGATTATCGTATATAACTATATTTTTTATTATTATCTATATGATATGAGATTTCATAATATTCCTGTTATTTAATTATAGAAAATTTGTCCGGTTTGGATATTTATAAATAATTTCGAAAAAACAAATAGATATTTAAAAATACGCTATGAAAATATTTATTGACGTTAATCTGATAACAAATGATGTGATTTATTTTCAAACATTCAAAAATTCGATCAGTAGTAAGCTCTGAAAACAAAGTCCATTAATAAATCTATGTTGGTTATTAAAGAAAATAAACATTATAATCTATTTATTATACTCAATACTATTCTGTATAAATAAATTATAATGCTTATTTTATTGAATAAAAAATAATATTTGTAGTGATTAGGAAGAAATTATAGCCTTTTGGTGGTTTACAGACCATTTAAGACCTTCCAGTGGTCTGGAATTGATAAAAGTGTGTAAAAACAGTATAATCAGAAATAACTATAATCTGTCCAACGATTCAGGGAACTTTTCGACAGGCCACCTCCAAAATATGACAGACAATACAATTTACCTGTGAATTAAATTGAGTGACACAGCTGTCACCGTCAGGGATCTTCCCGTTGGACACACTATACAGGGTGTCCCAGAACTAAGTGCAGAAATAAGTATTTTAAGACGTGGCAGATCTGGCCAAAAGAAACATATTTTCTCTTTACAATTTTTAAATTAAATTAAAATACCCTCAGCTGATTTGTTTAAATGTATGTCAAACGTTGACTATTTATAAGGCGCTGATTCTGAACTGTTGAAAAGCTGCTATAATTCATTATTTAGTTTCATTATTTCAGTTTAATAAACTGTAAAAAAGGATTTAAAATATTGTAGACGTTGCAATATACTTAGCAATAATCTACAATGATTAAAACATCTACAGTGAATAATATTAATTTAAATTTTTTTTGTAGAAATTTAAAAACCTGAACTTATAACTTATAAACATACAGAATGTAGATAACGTAGGAGGTGGCAACATTGCATTCTCTCGAAGCACTCTAAACAAATTTTCAAAGTTTTTTCAATATTTTCCGGAAAAGTTCAAGAAAAATATAAAAATTTTAACATTTTTTTTTCGCAGAAAAACCTTATGAGCGTTGTTCTGGGGTCGAAATATACTACCAGTTAAAATACTTGCACTCATCTCTGGGACACTTTGTATATGTTTAACAACATAGCTAACTTGAAAGTACTAGAAATAATAACAATGATGTATATTTTTGTTAAATTTCGCTAACACTACTGGGGAATGTGCGATATATTTTTGAAACCAGAAAAAATATAACATTAAATACCCTTCTATTCTTATTTAAAAAATATAATTGTTTGATATTATTTGGTAATAAAAAAGTGATAAAATCATGTTTTCACTTTTGTTTTAATCTAACTTCGTCGCACCACTTTGTGTCTTTGTATCGGTTTTTAGGGTTCCGTACCCAAAGGGTAAAAACGGGAACCCTATTACTAATAACTTCGCTATCCGTCTGTCACAAAGATCTCTCTTATGAACCGTTATACTATCTAGACAGTTGAAATTTTTACAGATAATGTATCTATGTTGCCGCTATAAGAACAAATACTAAAAACAGAATTAAATAAATGTTATAAATAAAAAAGTACTTTCACTAAACATTATCTTTTAAGTAAGAATTTTACATAGAATCTTTCAAGTCCTCGGTGGCCGCGTGGTTTAAAGCGTTAGGACTTTACGCTGCTATGACGTTGGAGCCGTAGTAAGGCAGGTTCGAATCCTAGTCAAGGCGACTTTTTTTAATCGTTTTTTTTTAATTTTTACATATTTATTTTTACTTTTTACATATTTATTATTGATTAATACAATTTTTAGTAATGTGTTTCTTCATTTTTCTTTTAAATTACTTATATGCGCATTCAAAATTTCAGCTAAATCGGAAAAAAAGTTTATAATAATATAATGTCTAATGTTGTATAGATAAAGAATGGTACGGAACCCTTCGTGCGCGACTCCGACTCGCACTTGACCATTTTTTTTAATCGTGGTGCGATCCCTTTTGACGCAAAAGAATTTGAATTTGAATTTGAATTAAATACACATTAAAAGTTGATCAAAAACCCTATAATTGTTTTTTGTAGTTCATACTGAAAAATTGGCAATTACCCCACAAAAAAAATGTAGATCCGGTCCTGAGGACAACAATGCAGTGACGGCTGATGCGTCAGCGTTGCATAGAACTAGCAAATTAACAATTTAATCTTTTATCACACAAACAGATAAATTTCCTGCAAAAAAAATGCATCTGGAACGCAGGATATACCTGATTTACATCAAACGAGTTCGTTTTAGTAAGATTTGCGGCGAATTTTTTAAGTTGTAGCAGGATCCGCTACTGCAGCAGTGAACTAAGCGAACGTGCTTCGTTTGGCGCGAAAAAACCTGCTGGAGTACGGGCCTGGATCGGCAGCGGTTTGGCATCGCATTCGAAATAAGAACATCATTTGCCGTTCCTGCGTATATCGTAGCGTGTTCTCTGTTGAATCTTTTTTCAACGTTGGTTTCGTACAGAAGCGTGAGTCCTGTTTAGAAGCAGGACAGTTAGTGTCGTAGTGTATCTAACTTCAAATCATGGGAGGTAAGACAGATAATTTTTAATTCAGTAAATTAAGCCCCGTTTCACCCTTTGACGCTCGCGGTTTGACCTTGTTTGTGCCGGTGTATCGGTTTCAGTATTTTTAATTTTTTTTAGTTCTTGCCTGGCTATTTTTTTATTTATCTTACATATTTTCAGTTTGTACATTTTATTATATTTTCATAAAATTAAAGATTGGGAACATGTTATAATATTTTATAATATAATTATTCAAAATATTTCTTGACATCAAATTAAATAAGTAATTTAATTTTTCTTTAAATTTGATTCCTGACCTACCTCATTCACTATCTTTTTCAAATTTAATCTATTTTTAATAGAAAAAAGGTATGATTTCACAGGTTGAGTTTTGAACTATTTGGAATGTTTTAACAATAGATAAATAAATAATTTCGATGATTCAAAGAGTAAAGAATTAAAAAAAGGTTTTCAAGTGCTAAGTACATCGGTTTTTTGACCTTGCTACTTGAGAATGATAATATAGAGTATAAAACTTGTTAGGAGACACACAGATAACTTGTGGTATAACTTTTTGACCTATTCTTTAATCAACATTAGCTTTAATTGTTTTCTAAAAAAAGAAATCCATTATTGAAAAATATTAACAGTGAAGTAATTTGTGAATTATATGAGTTGTCAAATGAATTTGGCGTGATGTTGTGTCTGATTTATCAAAACATGCTGTGTAAAAGTAAATTTTATTTCATGTGTTCATCTGGCTACAGGCAGTAAAGCTACGTAGGTGGTGGGATTCAATAGTTGAAATAGTTTTAATATTATAGCCAGGCATTAAAAACTAAAAATACGCTACAGGAGATATACGCAGTTAGCTGAAATAAAATAGAAAATTAAACTTGCACTTGGACCGTTTTAGACTCTTTTGATCCTGGACTATTTTTAGAGGCCTCCCGGTTAAATCTTTTCACGCTAATGCATTCATAGCTTGTCACTTATGTTCCAGACAAACTATATCACTTAAAGCTATTTAAGAACTTTAGTATATCTCTTTAATTACCTTAAAATGGGGTTACTTGGGACAAATTCACTATATTTTTTTTAGTCATGTGGTAATTTATAAAAGTTTTTGTGAAGACAAAGCAACAATTTATGTGTAGAAAATTTCCTTCATATATATTTAATCTATAAAGCATCATAAATGGTTCCTAATGTAAGAATATTTATAAAAAAACTAAGATATATTTACTGTCCCAAGTTTCCCCGCATTGGGGTTAAATGGGACTGTAACGGTTTTATACCGAAAATGCATGTTAAACTACTCACGGGTTACTTGGGACAGCAGAAAAATAAAAAAATATACTAACACACATCTTGAGTTGAAATTTTTTTCTCAGATAATTATTTAGAGGAAAGAAAAACTCGATTTAGAGTAAACTTATTAAAAATATTTATTTATTCATTAGAAAATGTAAAAATTCTTCAATAAACATAATAGGAACAAAGTGTTACGATTTGAATCGTAAGAACTAAAAGGAACTAAAAACATTTTGTATAAACACAAAAAAAATAGATCGATTGCATTCTACTTATTGTAGCCAATCAGTAATTGTATCCTCTGTGATATCATACTCATCAGCTAAATCTGGGAACACAAAATGTTTGTTGTTTTTCGTAGATTTTCTCATAAAACTGCCTCTAATAAGTTCGTCTTCTTTCTCTTTTTTCAAAACTGTAGGTCTTCCATATATTTCTTAATTCTGATTTTTACATCTTCTCTGTAAAGTTGATTTGGTTACCTTCCATTTGTCTTCCTCTGTTCTAACGGACATTCCAGATTGTATAGGTACGTCTTCTATGGCACTTTCCATATTTTTTTCTTCAAAGTCATGATATTTTTAGAGCCTACTTTGCGGATATATTTTCTTGGCATGTGGAGCACTGAAAACAAAATCGATTAAATAACATGGGGTAACTTATTGAGCCAAGGGCTAACTTGGGACAATTGTTGACCCAAGTTACCCCAAACCATGACTTTTTTTAAAAAATATATTTTGCAATCTAAAAAATTATCTAAACGCGGGTAATGACATTGGTATTATTTATGAAACATAAAAAACTAACTAAGAAATGTAATTGGACTTACCTGTTTACTTTTTGACTGCCTCTTACAGATAAAGTTTTCGACCACTTATTTTTAGCTTGCTTCCCACCACCCACTTATTTTTTTTATATAAGTAAAATACTATCACTTTATATAGAATTCGTTTAATTAAATCATCCACACATTGTTCTTTAACGAACCAAAACATTAAATTAAGATTATGTTTATATTTGCGTTGTTTCTGCCAGTTAAATTAGAAAAACCGAAGTTGCGTCCCAAATAACCCCGACGTCCCAAGTAACCCCATTTTACGGTAGTTAATAACAGTAGTTTCATCAAAATCAGTTACATCATGTATGGAAAAAATCTAAAATTGACCATTTTTTGGCTATTTTTAAGGCGCTCAAAAAAATAATATTTGTAGAGATAAAATTATGAAAATTTCAGAATTTGTGGGAAATTTTATGTAGTTTTAGGAATTATAAACATATTAGGGCTTTGGATTTTTTAGAAAATTCATATTTTTAACCCTTGTTTTTGAGCAAATTTTCATGATGGTTAAACCTTTGCCTACATCATAAATCAGAAAACGCAAGGCCAGAGTGGCCTATATTTTTGTATCCTACACATTCTAATTAGTAAATAACAATAGTTTTATCAAAATCGGTGACAATACCAAATTCGACAATTTCATGACGGATCCTAACCAATTTTTGGCTATTTTTTACATATTTTCAAAGCCTTAGAAAAATAGTAAACGTAGTCATAAAATTATGTAAATTTCAACATTTGTAGGAAATTTTATGTAGATTCAGAACATATACACGTTTGAAGGCTTAGATACCTCGGTTTTGTGAGAAAAATATTTTTTCCAGCCCTTGTTTTTGAGCTATTTTTGATTATGGTTAAAACGTCTCCTACATCCATTATTGTTCTCGTAAGACTACAATGGCCTATATTTTCTTATTCTACACCTTTTAATTAGTAAATATCAGTAGTTTTAACAAAATCGGTGACGTGACGAACATTGCCAATTTTCATGACTAATATGTATGACAAAATGTCGAAAAATTGACCATTTTTAGCGATTTTTACTATTTTTACTCATTTTCAAGGCGTTCTGAAAAATACTAATAATAGAGATAAGATTATGAAAATTGCTAGATTTGTAGGAAATTTTATGTAGTTTTAGAATGTATAAAAATATTTGGTTTAACTTTGGTTTTATTAGAAAATTGATTTCTTGAACCCTTGTTTTTGAGCAAATTTTGATGAGCGTTAAAAAAATGCATGGCCACAATGGCCTATATTTTTGTATTCTACATCTTCTAATTAGTAAATAATAATAGTTTTATCAAAATCGGTGACATGACCAAATTTGACAAATTTCATGAGTCAGTATTTGTTGATCAATTTTTGGCTATTTTTAAACATTTTCAAAGGCCTTAGAAAAATAGTAAACGTAGTTATAAAATTATGTAAATTTCAACATTTGTAGGAAATTTTATGTATATTCAGAATATATACACCTTTGAAGGCTGCGATAATAGAGATAAAATTATGAAAATTACTAGATTTGTAGGAAATTTTATGTAGTTTTAGAAAGTATAAAAATATTAGGGCTTAAATGCTTTGGTTTTATTGGGAAATTGATTTCTTGAACCCTTATTTTTAAGCAAATAGACCAAAAGCAAGAACTAAAGAACTAATGGCATCGAAATAAAGCGCAATATGTAGATGCTGTTAAAATAGATCACTTTTCTATAAATCCGTTTTCTTCTGGCAAAACTTCAAAAATATATTTGTAGGTTTACAGAACGGAAATACTCCCCCAAGCAAATTAAGGTCAATAATAATTATACATTTTTTTATTTATGTTCCATTTTACCCAATTGATTCAAGGCCCGCATGTCTTGAACGTTTCCATTTAACTTGACAATGTCAATGTCTGCTAAACTATTTCTCATCGACTTGGACTTGATAATATTAATATCGGGGTTCTGAGTACGTTATCACTGTTCTTTTACATACTTCTTTACTGATAAAAAGCCAATATACATCTAGATATAATTATATTGTAGGTTTTGCTTGGGTTACTTTAGCGACAAATGACTCCTACTCTTTGGGAGCCTTGGTCCTGGCTCATTCCTTGAAACAGGCTGGAACCGTACACCAGTTAGCTGTTTTAGTAACACCTGGTGTTACTAGTGCTATGAGGTAATTAAATATGTTTAATCTAATCTCGCAGACACTAATTGTTCATACTATTTTTGTTAAATTTCCGTTAAGTTTATTTTTAGACGAAGTTTATTGACCTAAACGTATTTAAATAACTTAATTAATTATTGTGAAGTGTAGTGTGTTAGATTTTTTTTAAATTAAATGCATTTTTAATTGAAGCTGATAGTATGAAATGTTTTAAGGTACTATTAGTTCAATAATTATTTTTGAATACATTGTTGATAGTATTAGTGAAGGATAAGATACATCAATATTCATTCTTTTTTTGGCATCATTTCAACACGATTATTTTTAATCTTCAATGTTTGACGGCGCCATTATTGGTGATGTAACACAATAAAAAGTTATTTTTATCAATAAAATGTTTTATATCATTGATGTTCACTGACTTATCAATGAACTTAAGTTTATCTATAGGTATAGTAGGCTCCAGAGGCGTTAGTTTTATTATTTATTTAAATAAAAATGAATAATTAATAAATTCATTACGGCTTTTATAGATTAGTGTTTTTTTAAATTATTTTTAACAACTCTGTTTTGGAATTTTAAGAATTTTTTCAAGTTATTTTTAAACTATCTAAAAATAAATCAGAGACGAAAGTGTCGTGCTTTTATAGTTACATTTATCTTTCACTAGACGTTGTTTAGAAATACTAAAAGTTTTTTGAAAAGTAAGAAGGTAATTTTTATAGAGAAAAGTTAACGTCGGTGTTCAACTTAGTACAAGAAGTCAATATCCTCGATTCCAAAGATGAAGCGAATTTAAGGCTGTTGAAACGACCAGAATTAGGTGTTACCTTCACAAAGCTGCACTGCTGGCGGCTCACGCAATACGAGAAATGTGTATTTTTGGACGCAGACACTCTGGTATGTCTTGAGGAAGATAATAAAACATATTATATCTCTAGTTATAACCGGGTTATTTTGGTTGTACGGATTTTTTAGGTTCTTCAAAATGCAGATGAACTATTTGAAAGAGAAGAATTTTCAGCTGCGCCTGATGTAGGATGGCCAGATTGTTTTAATTCTGGCGTTTTCGTTTATCGGCCGTCTATAGATACTTACGAAAAATTGATCGCATTTGCTTTAGAAAAGGGTAGCTTTGATGGTGAGTTAATCTTATTATCTTATTTCTCTACAAGCATAGAATTAACTCAGTTTTTGTTTTTTCCTAAGATTTCTTAGTCATTATAATCTAAGATATAAGTTACAGTTCTAAAAAGAGTTTACTGTAAAGGGAGATATTTCCTATTGCTGTTTTTCAAATTTTCACCCTGTATATTTGGCCCAAGGACGATAAATATTTTGAAATATAATTATAAATACATTGCTCTTTAAATCTGTCCTTTACTCTAAAAACTAAAATCAACGCGAGTAATATAAATAGGCGTTTAAAATTTTGGCAAACTCTTTGTTTTCATACGCAGTTGACATTAATCAGTGGACAGCTATAAAACTTTCGTTTATGGCGAAAAAAGTTCACACGCTTTTCTTAAAATATTTTATGATAAAATAAAACTATTTTCAGCAAAAATTCCAGTGAAAAGTTAATATCTTCGAGCATATGTGTTACTGAAATGCCAAGAGAAAGAAAATTTGCACATAATTCATTGCGTACACACCTTTACGTTGGGTGTTGAATTACTTTATAGCTCACCCAACTCGTTTTAGTATTGTTTTAAGTTTATTACAGTTGTTCTCTTATTTCTTAGACTTTATGTTTTGTCTAGACAGGAGGAAATCAGAACTCTATACTAATATATAAAATCCTTAAGTGACTGACATACTGATTAATCACGATCCTGCTCAAACCACTCAACGTAAGAAGCTCAATTTTGGCATACAGGTTGATTCTAGGGTGTAGAGGTTCGATATGAAGGGATTTTTCGAAATTCCAGTTCCAAGAGGGTGAAACCACCCCTCAAATATTACAATATTTTTTATTTAAAAAACGGTCAAGTTTCCGAAAAAACGCTTAAACACGTATATTTTATTTTGTTTTTTTACATATTTTAAGATTTTTTAAAAACGGATACAGGGTGTTTCGAAAAATCTGGTCATTGATTAATCACGATCCTGCTTAAAGCGCTGGACGTAAAAAGCTGATTTTTGGAAAACAGATGGACTTTAGGGTGTAGAGGTTCGATAAGAAGGGATTTTTCGAAACTCGAATTCTAAGGGGTTGAAACTATCCGTCAAATATTAAAATATTTTTTTTATTAAAAACCGGTGAGTTTTTCGGAAAAACTCTTAAACACGTATATTTTATTTTGTTGTTTTACATATTTTAAGATTTTTTATAAATTTATACAGGGTGTTTCATAAAATATGACCATTGAGTTATCACGATTTTACTTAAACTGCTTGACGTTTTAAGCTGATTTTTGGCAAACGGATTGACTGTGGGGTGTAGAGGTTCGATAAGGAGGGGTTTCTCGAATCTCAAATTCCAAGAGGGTGAAAACGCCCCTCAAATATTACAATATTTGTTATTTAAAAAATGGTTAGTCTTTCGGGAAAACGCTTGGACAAGCTTAACTTATTTGGTGTTTTTACATATTTTGAAATTCTTTAAAAAATCATACAGGGTGTTCCAAAAAGTTGGATAATTTCTTAACCACGATTCTGCTTAAACTGCTTAACGTAAATAGCTTATTTTTGGCAAACGGATTTTTTGAAAGTCAAATTCCAACGAGATGAAACTACCCTTCAAATATTACCAAGTTATATATTAATATCGCCATATTGTTTTTTCTCGTGCTGACATAAATGTGAGAAAATTTTATCCAGTTTGTATGTTATTGGAAATTCTTGCTTTGCTTTATCATCACCATTACAAATGATTAATTCGACGGGAACGAAGTCGCTGGTACACGCTAGTACTTTATATATTTCTTTCGTTATTTTCAACTAATATTTGTTTATATGTTTTTAGGTGGTGATCAAGGGTTGTTAAACTTATTCTTCTCCGATTGGGCGTACAAAGATATCAGCAAACATCTTCCTTTTATCTACAACCTGTGCTCCACGGCATGTTATTCGTATCTTCCTGCATATAAACAGTTAATTTTATTATAATAATAAACCTGGACTTGGTGATAATATATTTGATTGTAGATTCGGTGCAAATGCTAAAATAGTTCATTTTATTGGGGCAACCAAACCCTGGTTACAATACTTCAATACAGAAACGAAAACCGTACAACCTTCTGGAGAAGCTTCGCATCTACAGGATGTGCTACAAAGATGGTGGAACATTTTCTGTTCTCTTATTCATCCACAATTGTCACCTGCGATGGTATGTAATAAACTATTTTCTGTTTAGTATTATTAAAAAAAAGTTATATACTATTTATAGTTCTACTGAAATTTAATTTTTAACAGACATCAACTTTTTAATCAAATTAACCGAAATTTTCTTCTTATTAAAAATATCTTTCACGCTCACTTAACTCCTTTTTTTCGAAATTTAAAAACTGTTAAAATTTTACAAGCCTCCTCAGGAAAATTTTGAACTTGATAAAATAACTGAGGTGAGTTTTTTATTTATTTTCAAAATTATATGTTATTACTTATTTTTTCTTTTTAATATTTATTATTTAAATAAGGTCATTTCTACTGAAGGCGGTATGTACACTTTGCTGTGTTTGAATTGCCTTAGTTTTAAAAATAATATACAATGCTTATTGCAAGCATTTAACTTAAATGTTATATTTGCTGTTTTTTTATTTTTGCACGGATAAATACGAATAATACGATTTTTTGCATTAGTAGATTTAAAATTAATATTAATATCTTGCAGTTTTAAGTATTTTACAAGTTAAACTATTAAAATTGGTAATTTATGTATCTAATTTTAAAAAGTATTAAAAAAAAACCAAAATAAAAACACTATATCACCACAATACACCAAAACACTTTTACTTTTACACTGGACGCGCGTTTCGCTAACCATGTTAGCATCATCAGCAGATGATTATAAACTGAGTTTTGAGTGTTTGTCAGTTTATAATCATCTGCTGATGATGCTAACATGGTTAGCGAAACGCGCGTCCAGTGTAAAAGTAAAAGTGTTTTGGTGTATTGTGGTGATTTAGTGTTTTTATTTTGCTCTGTAACACCAAAGGTTCCAACCCTCAACTGTAATAAAAAAAATATCCGATAAAAAATAATTATAAAATTAATATTTCTGGAATTTATGAACTACATACTTATACAGGGTTCAAAAAACATGTGCCATCATTCGTTGGAAGATTCTTCATACTTGCTAAGAAAAAAGACAAAGTCAGTGGCGCACATTCTTTTTTGGCACTTGGAAAAATAATAACAAATAGAAATAAATAAGGATTTTAACCCCCCGTAGCTACGAAACAAAGCAGAATCGGACCTATGTTGGTATAGAAATTAAATATTATTTTTACGTAAGGTATCTCCCTGCGAAAGATGGCACACTTGGAGTTTTTTGACATACCTCTCTAATTACAGCATAATTCCTGCCATTTTATGTCAAATTAAGAAAGTCAAGCAAGCTAACTATTAGATTGATGAGATAAAATTATTTAAGATCAATTTTCCGTTTTTAAAGACATTCTTCTTGTTCTTATATTTTCATTTTTATATTTTTGTGTTTATTATACAAATATTATATTATGTTTAAAAATATAGAGCGATATACTTTTAACTGTTTGGCATGAAAAGAGTATCTCAATAAGTATTAATATTTTATTGAAAAAAAAGTACTTATTGTTGAATGTGGCATGACGCAGCACAGATCAAGCATTTGTGTTTTGAGTTTAATTGGCTTGTGTGAGACGAATTTGATTTTTCAATTTTTTTTCTCTAAAGAATGCTTTAATTTTTTTTTATTTTGAGTATGGTCTGTTCCCTCGCATCACATCTTAACTTGTTTTAATTTTGTTTCTTTTGCATGCTTGTGTTATATCAGCCCGAAGCTCAGTCGCAGTACAGCGTGAGTCAGTCCTATTATCCACCTCACTTCGTCCAACCTTCCCATACCATATCGTCTGCGGGTGACTACGATGATGCGTGGGATCCGTGGGACGAATACGATCAAAAACTCGCTCGAAACGTTGCTCAGTATCAGTATACTCATTCCGTCAATACTTCAGCTCATTACAACGATCAAAATCAGCCTATTGAATCTCTAAATACAAACGCTAGTGTTGCTGAACCGCCCACCACTCATAGTCAATCGCAGTCGTATAACACTTACTCAGATCAAAATACTAGTTATCAGCCTCCTCCGCATCCACCATTAACCGTCCAAAGCCATCATGATCGTCCACCAACTCCTCCGCCTCCTAGTCCTCAATATCACACTCATCATTCTCCTCTCGTCCATCATATTCCTGAATCACCACATCCCCAACAGCATCATCATCACCACGAGCAACCTCCTCATCCTGTTCACAATGAACCTCATGAAAGTCGTGAGCTCGTACAAATAGTGATCTTTCATTCTCATCAGACGCATTCAGAGTTTAAAGTTCCTAGTCCAGAACGTCCCAGATCTCCTATACATTCCGTTCCTATTTTACCAAAAGAATGTGAGGCTACCACCACGGTCTCCAACGACATTTCTTTGAGTAGCAATATCGAGGAAAATACACAAGAAGGTGATGTAAGTATTATACGACTTTCTGACATTTTGCTTTTGCAACTTTCTTTTGTGTGACTAATACTATATAAACTAATCGATTCATGTAACTATTGTACAAAACCTCCTTCATGCTAAAGTAAACAAATATAAATATAATTTGATCAGTAGAGAAAAGTAAATTATTTATTATAATCGTAGAACAACTTAACATGTTCATTTCATAGTGAATTATGAAACAAAATTAGATGTTCATCTTTTTATACGAGGAATATATATTTATATATTTATTTTTTTAGGCTGGTTTGGCAGGAGCGTTCGCCCAGTTGACCCTGGGTGTACCAAGAACACAGGAGCAAGAAGCTTTTGACAGTTTGATGAGGAAGCAAGCTTGGGAAGTAGGGAACATCGATTATTTAGGTCGAGACTCTTTCGAGAATATCTGGAGTAAAATTACCCAAACTCTGAGCGCTGGAGCGCCAGAACCTGCTCCTCCAACACCCGTTGTAGCTCCTGCCGAAAGCCAAAGCCAATCCACAGGTGTGCAAAAGAGTTAACCTACCCGTCTGGAAAGAATATAACCTTTTTGAGTTTTTATTACTTTTTTTGTTAGATATAATTGGCTGTTATTGTTAAATACCCCTCGCTTTTTTCTGCATGATATAAGAATTATTGTTTTTTGTTAGTTCTCTCCATGAATTTGCTTTGCGTTTCATTTTACGGCTTAAGTATTTTTGTTCGCTTTTTGTGATATCGTCCTATTAATTACTAATTGAATCTCTTTTTGTCTTATTTTTAACGCTGCTTGGGATTAATCAGAGGACCTCAGCGACCCATTGGAATCTCTCTCTGAAGAAGAATAAGCCTATATGTCGGGCTTAGTATATATCGTTAAATAACTATTGCTGAGATTTTATAAAATCTCTTATCGACATAGAACGTGGAGCCTTTTTTGTAACAATAATTGAGCGTACGAAAATAAATTGTTTTCTATTTTACCCTGTTTGGCTTCCGCAGTCCACGATATTATTACATAATTCAGATTAATGGCTTTCAAACATATATATTTAGACACAATATTCAAAATCTGAATTATGTATTTAATTTTTTAACCTTTCCTTGTGTTTGTCCGCCAAAATCCTGGGTTAATGTTTAAAACGAACAAGCATGATCTAAAACTGGCTTATTAATAGTTGATTTGAGGACGCTTGCCTAGCGTGTCATCATGGCCTAACACATTCATACCTGGGTACTGATGACAATAACTCTTTGCAGCCCTTCCTCAAGAAGAGGCTAAACCAGATGAGCCTCCTGTTGATATATCTACAGCTGTAGATAGTTTAAGTTTAGAACCTACAGAGTCCAAATCTTCTGTAGTTACTTCGTTACCCGCCGAAGAGGCTACACCATCTGTTACAGAAACTGTTCCTATAGAAACGAAATCTTCTCCACAAGAATCAGTCCAAGTTATTCCAAAGGAGGCTGTGATTGAACCGCCTCAGCCAGCAACACCTCAAAAGGAAACACCATTACCTGTTGAGAGCGTAATATCTAGTGAGAAGGAAGCTGAAACAGTTTCACAAAAAGAAGTAGAACCAGTTTTAGAACCTGCTGTAGTTTCACCACCAGTTGTAGAACCTCCTGTAATTCCACAACCAACTGTAGAACCCTCTGTAGTATCACAACCAGTTGAAGTTTTGCAACCAGCTGAACAACCTCCTGTAGTTTCAGGGCCCACTCAGAAAGAATCTGAGCCTACCCTACCACCCTCAACATTACCAGAAAGCTCTCCAGTGATTCCACAAGTGGTACCTAAAGAAACTGAGCCTCTTGTAACCGCTCAAGTTGTCAAGGAAGCGGAACAATCACTTGCAGCATCACAAGTTGCAGTAGCTGCTCCAAAAGAATCAGTTCCTTCATCCCCACTTCCAGAGATTAGCACAAAGGAATCGTCAAAGCCAGTTGCCAAAGAACCAGCACCAAAGGCAGCCACACCAAAAGAGCCACAAAAGGGCAAGCCTGCCGAGGCACCTGCCGCTCCTGTGGCGGAGAAACCGAAGCAAGCATCTGTTGAAGCAGCCACGACGAGCGAGCCAGCTTCAACACCTACACCTCCACCAAGAAAGACTGATAAACCGAAGAAGGTAGCTAGCAAACCTAAAAAATGAGCCCACTCAAGTTGTTTTTGGGTTTGAACGAATTGTGCCATGAAAATTTTCATTATATTGCCTGTGTGATCAAATTGACATAACCTATCTCTATTTATTATTTTTTTCTTAGGTTTGATAAAAGTATTTTCGTTACTAATATCACACTGACTATTTCTTTCCTTCTTTACTATTAATAAAGAAACGTTTTATAAATTATTATGAGTGTTTTTTATTTGGAGTTCAGTTGAAATAAAAAGGTAATATTTTTTTATTTTTTATTCAAATTAATAACCAACAAAACAATAGAAATGTAACAAAATGGTAGATGGACAAATTGAATTATGTTCAATTTCAAAACGAGACCGCCTTTAATTTCGCAAAAGCTTATGAACTAAAGTTTCTCTTTAATATGTCAATAGCTACCCTAAAACAACGATTGCTTAGAAAAATTATATGTATATATTTTGTAGTACTATGATTATTCATTACATGAATGAGTACGTTCTTTTTTAGATGTAGATACATTGTAATGAACACATATTTAACATTGATAACGTCTTGCATTTCTTATTACATGTATCTACATAATGAAAATTGAATGCAAAATTAACCAAAGCGTAACCCTTATACTGTCAAAATTATGTGCAAACTGTATTTTTATGTCACATCGGATGTGAGTGATTATCACTCATGAAATAATTATTGAAAAATTCGATATATTAAACAGTTGTTATAAAAGGACTGTATTTTTGTCCAAAAATCCCTATCAGTACTATGTTAAATTTTATTTGGTGTTTTTTATGATTGTTGAACGCCAATCATCATTATAGTCGATTTTAATTTTCATCCTTATTATTATACAGATCGAGTTTATAACTTGGGACAAATTCAGTACACCACGTCTTTAAAAATTTTAAATTTTACTCTTTTTATTGTAAAAAAATGAATACAGATTGGCCCATATAAATACGATATCATCGATTTTTTTAAAGTGATTAGTAGGGTGCACAAAAAAATATTTTTTTTTCTTTTAATTAACTTTTTTTTAATAACTTGATTTAGTGAATTTAGTCCAAGTTATAAAGTCATTCTGTACATATAAATTCTAGCGTCAGAAAATCTTAAAATATGAATTTATACAAGTGGATCTTTTGGCTTCGTATAAGGTTTAAGTGACGAGATTTAAAAATTTTCGGTTATATCAAAGCTGTGTAGCTCAAATATTTTTTTTTATGATTAAAGTATTATAGCGGTTGCATCGTATAAATATATTTATTACTTTGAATCTAGGTTTTTGGAAAACTCTTGACATTTAGTAATATTTATAATATTAGTTTTTCTCGGATAATCACGTTGGGTGTTGTTAATTAACGTGTTCACATGGAAAAGCAATACGAATATCATTTGATTCGTTCCAAGTGGGGTTAAGAATTAAAAGATTTCTAAGCAACAAAATTATTATATATACACTTTGGTCTTAAGCATTTTATTTCTTTATACAATAACTTATTCTATAAAAATCTATCACAAAAAATCTGAGTAGATAAGTTTTTAGTCCAGAAAATGGGTCGATTCAGTTCTAAAACGATGGCATTACATAGCTTATTGGTTTCACATTTTAAAACTAATCGACCAAGTTGAGCTAAACTTAAAATGCGATCATATATAATTGTGTTAAAGAGTGTGCCACATTTTCTGGACTCTTTAAAAAAATTCAATATCCTATTTTCAACTAGTGCTTGGGAAGGACAATAGTTTTAAATAGGATATCCCAAAAAAGATAATTAGTTAATTTGTTACTAATATCATAATCTTCCCAAAACCTTAATATTTATTATAAAATTTTAACAATAATATACGAATTATGTTTATTAAGTCATATATTCAACGAAAATTATAAAGAGCTCTTTTTTTTTGAAAATCTGAATTAGTTGAGTATGGGTGACATTTCGACGTTTATATATACAGGGTTATTCACCTCATTCGACACGGAGTATTGTAGCCAAATGATTAGATTTTTAGGAATTGTGAGTGATGGGGTCGTTGGAAGACCACTAAAGCTACAATTTAAATTTACTCTTCAAAAGTTACAGAGTGTCCCAAATAAATAAAAAATCAAAGTTGTATTTTTTTAAATGGAACTGTATATTAACCTGTATATTATTACATTTTTGGTTTCTTAAATGATTAAAATAAAGGTAAATTTGAATAAGGTTTACCGCACTTTAATCTTACCTTTTTTGAAATATTTACGATTTTGTGAAAATGCTAAAAAATGTAAAAAACAATTTTAAGGCTTCATTTCTTTAGGTGTATGTAAGTTTAAGTATACCATGGCATACCATTATTTCCGCCCAAATATTAATTAATTACATACTTAATTGTGTTAGTTAATAAATTATTATAAATAAATGAGGATTTGAATCAGAAATCAATATAATAATAAGTTTATGAATATGAATGTCTCTGTTATTATAAATAAGCATTCGTCGTGTTACTTTTTTCTACACTGTCTAACACACATATAAAATTCATTTTTTTTTAATATTTGAAGCAATTATTAATCAACGGAAACAGTCAATTAATGTAGTCCGAATACTAGAATCATATTAATTGGTACTCTTTTACAAATATTTAAACATTTAATTTTATTTTTTAATGAAATAAGCGAACTACACATATCGACAATATTAGTATCTGTACTATTTGAAAATTTGTTACATCTTTAAAAATAATCTAAAATGTCAATATTCCATGGGTATATTGATAAATGAGGTCTCAATTGTAAGAAAATGATATTTTCTACGAAAACGTGACGAGATAGGTAAAAAACGGTACAAAATACTATTTGATAGACAATTAAATTGTGCATCTGGTTCTCGTAAAATATACAGGATGTTCCATTTAAATTAAACAAGTTATTGCCGTTTAAAGCTAGTAATTATTTAATATAAATTTTTAGACAGTCTGTATAAGGTACCATTATTTTTATTATTGCAACACAAAATTTAGTAAACAGAAAAACTTCAGTACATTATTTGGTTTTAAAAACTTAACATACGCCTAGAGAAATTAACATTAAAATTGTTACTATATTTTCACTAAATCGTAAATATTTTAAAAAGGGTAAAATTAAAGTGCAGTAAACCTTAATCAAATTTACCTTTCTTTTAATGGCAGAAACTAAAAACTTAATAATATATAGGGTGTTCCATTAAAAAAAAATACAACTTTGATATTTTTTATTTGTTTGGGACACTCTGTAACCTTTTGAAAATAATTGTAAATTGTAGCTTTAGTAATCCTTCAACGACCCTATCACTCAATTTCTAAAAATCTAATCGTGTGGCTACAATATTCCGTGTCGAATGAGGTGAACAACCCTGTATATTATGTAATCAAGCAAAATAGGAATGAATTGTTCTTAATATAGATTAGTTTTTAAAGATGTGTGTCAAAGTGTGGTAAGATAGAAGCACATCTTAAAGTAACGTCATAAAGGAGGCAAGTCATTCAGTGCTTTATATATATTATATATATACTTAAATTAGGTAATATTTTGTTTGAAAAAATGTCACACATACAGTGATGCGTATGTTTTTACACGAGGCATACAAAATTTGTTTAATATATTTTTGCAAATGTTTTCCCTTCGCCCCTCCCCGCTAGCGGTCCTTGTAGCATGTGAAGTTAGCTTGAATATTAGCAGTTGAAGAAAGCACCATTTTTATATACATTATTATATAAATTAATAATTATTATAGTTGCCGAAGCATAGTTCATTATAGAAAAATACCCAACAGTGTTAAATATAGTTTGCGTTATTCATACAAAAACCTATAAAAATACTTATGTAAAGAATAGAAGAATTTTAAGAAATGTTTTTGTGCGAAGATGTTTTATTAATTTTATGTTATGTATTAATCTCAGAAAGGAATATATTAATATTCATTAAAAATGCATAAGTATTTTTAGAGTTTTTTTTTTAAGGAATTAATAAATCCAAAAGGAAATACAAAAACTTGCTTCGGCACAGATTTCATAGATCTTTTTAGAATACCTTTCAACCTGACAGAATTGCCTAGTATCGCAATCTTTGCTAATTTGTGCATTTAGACTTGTTCTCAAAATATGCCGTTTTATTTAACTTTGAAGCTGCTGTCTTAAGTCGGTCTTTGGGAAAAATAGGTTTGGAGATTTCTGCCTCCAAATTTTCTGCCTAAACATTTGTACTCTCTTACCGTAAAAGGAAATAATAACAAAGCTAGACCGACTTAAGATTCTGATTAAGTGCTGTAGCGATAAATACCAAACAGTGCTAGCTGAACATATTCTAATCTGGATTTTTTTAACAATATTTTAATATTATTGATAGAGTAACTCCTATAACGGCTTTTTTAACACTTTATAGGATTATTTAAATTATCCTCATAATTTCAAAGTTTCATATCGAATAAATATCCAGAGCAAGAACTGGAAGCAAAGGTTTGAATATTTTGTATTGTTCAAAATTGATTGTTGATTACTGTTAAGTATTTCTTTTTTATGTTTTAATTATTGTGCGTTTAATTCTAATTAACCAGTTTTTTTGATGAGTATTGTTTGCAGTTCTTGCCCAGATTTTGATAACAATACTGCCGTGTTAATGAAAAACTAAGGGTAATTAAAAGGATAAAGGTATTTGCCAACTAAATTATTTTCGGAATTGTAATGAAATATAGTTTTAACTCAAGTGAATATCTGACGGTTATGTTATATAAAGTGTTTTATTTATAAGTATTAACAAACGAGAAGCGTCAGATGTCTTTTGTTAACACGGCAGAATACAAGAAAAGAATTTTTTAAACTACAATTCATTTAAACGAGGAATTTTTCTAATAAGTAGTCGAGTATTTTCTATGAGAAATTAGAGTAAAATCATTTCTATTGCTATAAATTTGATGAATAAACAAAATTATCAAATACCTAAAAAATAATCAGTCTTCTAAGAATCACGTCGAAGAGTAAAAGTATAATTTGATGTTTTGAAATTAACAGGATACAATATTATTAAATGAAGTGATCGTCAACCGATAGCCTACGAAATCTCCTTTTGGAAAAAGCTAATATCAACGAATTTTCGCTAGAAAGTATGCTGGGATCACGTTCTTTCTACTACTCGTCCATCGATACTAAGGTTTTCGTTAGAGAGAGTTCTCAGCTTAGCGAACAGCTCATACAACTCTAAAAATAGTGATTGTAGAGTATATCTAAGCTATGCTAGTCCGTTTTACAGTTTGTATGAACGGCCTTCTAGTTGACGCAGTAAATAAGATACCTTCTCCACCAAACTACACTTACACAAGCTGATCCACGAGCCCGATTATCTCGAAGCGTTTACTATATAGACTATGTTACGATAGTTCCCTGTTTTCGTTTAAGTTGAAAAAAGATATCGAGATAATGAACCGCACCAGTGGCCTCTTGGTCCATAGCCCTTTGACTGCTATGGCGATGTTAAGGAGGGGCGGGGCCTGTCTCATACGTCCGCTGATCGTGAGCTAATGCTGGGCGTCCGACTGTGGATCACCACTTTGTGTCCATTTCGTTCCACTAAGACCGCTGTTTGACGTGCTTCCAATTCGCCATCGGCTTCGCCATCAATCTCGTCGTTACCGTCACCGTCTCCATCACCGTCTCCCATGTCACCTTCGTCTCCAGATTGGTCAGTCGCTCCTCGGAGTCTCTTGTGCTTTCTCCATGCGTTCTGAATGAGTCTGGCACAGTACTCTTCTCTCTGTCTCCACAGAGTAGAGCTAACTGGCTCGTAACCCACTTCGTTTGGTTTTGGTTGCACTTCACTCAGCTCTGCCGTTTCATCGATGGCGTTGCCTTTGCGCGCGAAGAAATCTTTGGTAAGCGCGTCGAGGATGTCCACGCAGTACATCAGGTCTCCTTTACAGATCGGAATGTCCATAGATACGATTTTGTATTTGTTGGGCTTGTGGATCTGCAGAGGTGGCTCGAGTACGTCGAGGAAATCAGAGAGTTGGTCGTAGCGGATGTATTGGGTACCGTCTGGATCAAACTGCTGCCAGATCTCGTAGTACATGTCGTAATCGTCGTCTGTGAGACCTTCTTGAACGTCTTCGGTAGCTTGGGAGTAGTTTTCCAAAATGACAGCAATGTACATGTTAATTACAATTAAAAACGATATCACTAAGTAGCTGAGTAGGAAAGCTATTCCTATGGTCGAGTTGCCGCAATTTCCGGTCTCCCCGATCTCGTTGTTTGGTTGTTTGCAGTCTTCCTCGTTAATTATTCCATCAAGCACACCATCCCAACCAGCTGATGTTGACATCTGCAATAAACGAATATTATTTAAAACATAGCCCTTGTTATTTTGGTGCGATTTTACCTGGAAAAGCAGAATCATCGATTGTCCAAAAGTCTTAAAGTTATAGACGTCATCAAGACCACTTTTGTCTTTAACGTGCATGAAGAACGACATGCCGAATATGGCGAAGATGAACATAACTAAGAAGAGCAGCAAACAGATGTTGAAGAGAGCAGGCAGTGACATAGCTAGCGCAAACAGCAGCGTGCGTATTCCTTTAGCTCCCTTTACCAAACGAAGTACTCTGCCCACTTTGGCTACGCGCACCACTCTCAGCAGCGTCGGTGACACGAAGTACTTTTCGATAATGTCACTGAGCACTAACCCCAAAATTGATAAAATTACTACCACTAAATCAAAAAGATTCCATGGCTCGGTAAAATAGTGATAACGTAAAGCAAAAATCTTCATCAGGCACTCGGAAGTAAATATAACTATGAAAATCATGTTCAAACAGTCCAGCACTTTTGTAAATGTCTCTTTCTGCTGATAATGGTCCATAGTCATTGTCAACATATTCAGTCCTATGAACAACATGATGAACATGTCGAATTTTTTATTTGTCACTATTTCGAAAACTATTCCTTGCGGTCGCCACTAAAAAAAAATAAAAGAAAAACTTAATAACATCAAAATTTAACGAAATAATCTTACCCTTGGCCTTGGTATAGCTTTCATGGGCTTTTTAGATCCCATCTTTTTCATTGCATTGTAATATTTCTTCTGATCTTCAGTCATGAACATCTCCAAGGACCCTCCAGCTTAAAATAGAAATTAATTATTAATCTAAAGTTAATTTCAATATTTTCGTATTTAGTTATACTACTGGGTTGTTGAGTTTATTTTAAAACATTATAAAATACTTATCTTTTTCTTCTGTTCGTTAAAGTTGTCAATGATTACTCCTATAAACAGGTTGAGGGTGAAGAATGAACCAAATATGATAAAGAATACGAAGTACAAATACATGTAAATATTTGTTTCACGTATTGGTTGTTTATTTAGCTAAAATCAAATGAAATAAATTAGTTATAATTTGAAATATTTTAATCTCGAGCTTACTTCTCTAGAATCAATCGCATCATTCATAATTTGAATCCATCCTTTGAAGGTAGCTACTTGAAACAAGCAAAGATATGCTTTACCCACATGATCGAAGTTCATTCTGGAGTTGTCCCATGTATAATTTTCTGCTTTGCACGCATTGTAATCAGGTATAATTTCCCAACTGAGGGTTGTTTTGTTGTTGTCCACACACTGAAACATATAAAACTAGGCTCTAAAGAATACTTTCTTAAAGTTTTCGCTTACCTTGTAATATTTTCCTGCAAATAATTGGACACCCATTATAGCAAAAATTAGCCAGAATATTAAGCACACCAACAGTACGTTGAAGATAGAAGGTATAGCTTGAACCAGTGCATTTACCACTACTCTCATCCCTTGCATCCGGGACATAGCTCTCAAAGGTCTCAAAGCCCGCAGAGTTCTCATAGTTTTGAAGGCTTGAATACCACCGGCACCGCAGAGAGATGCGATGAAATTTATTAAAGACACCATAACGATGACGAAATCTAACCAACACCAAGCGTTGGTAAAATATTTTTGAAATCCTAAAGCCAGCCATTTGATTAACATTTCAAAGAAGAAGATCACCGTGAATATCCTGTCCATATAATAAAGGATGTCTTGCAGAATTGGTCTTTGCGAAAGGTGGACGTCTTCCAGTGCTAGAGCCAGACTACTGAGCAAGATCATCGTTATTACAGCAGTCTCAAAATATTTATTTTCGATTAGTTGAAACGTTTTGTATCTCAGATTGCCCCAGCCTTGCCAGAATGGCGAATCTTCGTCACCAGCAAGGAAAGGAAACTTCTTATAACACGGTTCAGGGAAGCAATCAGCTGAGTATTCGTCTAAAATGATATCTTCCGTTGCAGCATCTATTATAAGGTCTTCGTCTAAAGGTCCTTGACAGTCGCATTCATCTTCTTCTATTTCTAAAAGGAAATTCAGTTACAGTCAATGCACGAAATGCTATTGTTTGCAGATATTAAACCAACGCAAGTCCCATATCTATATATATAAATCTGACTGTCCTGACTGATACTGACTCATCAACGCCCAGACCAAACCCTTGACCCTAGAAAGCTGAAATTTTGCACAGGGATTCCTTTTATGATGTTTACTTAAGATAAGAAAGGATTTTTAAAAATTCATCCCCTAAGGGGGTAAAAAGGGGGGTGGAATATTACAATATTTTTTATTTAAAAAACGGTCAAGTTTCCGAAAAAACGCTGAAACACGTATATTTTATTTTCTTTTTTTACATATTTTCAGATTTTTAAAAATGTATACAGGGTGTTTCGAAAAATCTGTCATTGATTAATCACGATCCTGCTTAAAGCGCTTGACGTAAAAAGCTGATTTTGGAAAACGGATTGACTTTAGGGTGTAGAGGTTCGATAAGAAGGGATTTTTCGAAACTCGAATTCTAAGGGGGTGAAACCGCCCCTCAAATATTAGAATATTTTTTATTTAAAAAACGGTCAAGTTTCCGAAAAAACGCTTAAACATGTATATTTTATTTTCTTTTTTTAAATATTCTAAGATTTTTTTAAAATGTATACAGGGTGTTTCGAAAAATCTGGTCATTGATTAATCACGATCCTGCTTAAAGCGCTTGACGTAAAAAGCTGATTTTTGGAAAACGGATTGACTTTAGGGTGTAGAGGTTCGATAAGAAGGGATTTTTCGAAACTCGAATTCTAAGGGGTGAAACCGCCCCTCAAATATTAGAATATTTTTATTTAAAAACGGTCAAGTTTCCGAAAAAACGCTTGAACACGTATATTTTATTTTTCTTTTTTTTTACATATTTTAAGATTTTTTAAAAATGTATACAGGGTGTTTCGAAAATCTGGTCATTGATTAATCACGATCCTGCTTAAAGCGCTTGACGTAAAAGCTGATTTTGGAAAACGGATTGACTTTAGGGTGTAGAGGTTCGATAAGAAGGATTTTTCGAAACTCGAATTCTAAGGGGTGAAACCGCCCCTCAAATATTAGAATATTTTTATTTAAAAACGGTCAAGTTTCGAAAAAACGCTTAAGCACGTATAATTTATTTTCTTTTTTTGCATATTTTAAGATTTTTTAAAAATGTATACAGGGTGTTTCGAAAAATTGATTAATTGGTCATTGATTAATCACGATTCTGCTTAAAGCGCTTGACGTAAAAAGCTGATTTTTGGAAAACGGATTGACTTTAGGGTGTAGAGGTTCGATAAGAAGGGATTTTTCGAAACTCGAATTCTGAGGGTGTGAAACCACCCCTCAAATATTAGAATATTTTTTATTTAAAAACCGGTGAGTTTTTCGGAAAAATTCTTAAACATGTATATTTTATTTCGTTGTTTTACATATTTTAAGATTTTTTAAAAATTTATACAGGGTGTTTCATAAAATATAACCATTGAGTAATCACGATTCTACTTAAACTGTTTGACTTTTAAAGCTGATTTTTGGCAAACGGATTTACTGTGGGGTGTAGAGGTTCGATAAGGAGGGGTTTTTCGAATTTCAAATTCCAAGCGGATGAAAACGACCCACAAATATTACAATATATGTTATTTAAATACGGCGAGCCTTTCGGGAAAACACTTGGACACGCATAATTGATTTTGTTTTTTACATATTTTGAAATTTTTTAAAAAATCATACAGGGTGTTCCAAAAAGTTGGGTAATTGATTAATCACGATTCTGCTTAAACTGCTTGACGTAAAAAGCTTATTTTTGGCAAACGGATTTTTCGAAAGTCAAATTCCAACGAGATGAAACTACCCCTCAAACATTATACCAAGTTATATAATAATATCACCATATTGTTTTTTCTCATGCTGACATAAATGTAAGAAAATTTTATCTTAGTTTGTATGTTAATGGAAATTCTTGCTTTGCTTGATCATCACCATTACAAATGATTAATCCGACGCGAACGAAGTCGCGGGTACACACTAGTCTTTTATATTCCGCCTGTTATCTCTATATTGCATTCATAACTTTGCAATTCTGTTTAAAACTTTCCAGACACATAGTGTTTACAGGTTGATGGCTGTCTACTACATTTGTTGTTGACGAAGTTATACAGAGAACATCCAATATAACTATATTAGAAATAAAATTCAATGATATTTTATTAAGGGACTTGCGGGGTATATTTAAATCATTTATGACTTTTAAGAATGTGCTTTTAAAATAGATATTATTTTAGTAATTATGTAATTACTTTTTACTGCAACAGTTGATGTTGAATGCCCCGAATGATGGTCCTTGTGGTTGACTAATAAAACAGTTTTACGAATATTAGTTTCTGATATTTGAGTTTAGCAAAACAAGCCAAAGTTTGTCTAGTGAATAAAAGTGATCGGAAGCACTAAAAGGTGCTGAAAACTTGAGTAGATTATATAATATACGTGTCTCAATTCATTTATAATTGTAAAATAAAAACGATTTGTAGTGATTTATTTGAATAAAATTAAGCGATCAACATGTTTGAAAGGCAGTCGTATCATGCAAAAGATGTTATTAAATAAGTGTTTTTAAGAATAAGATTGTCGCTGCAGTAAGTAATTATGTTGACAGTTGTTTTTTATATAATTAAGAATGTACCTTCATCGATTCCTAGCTCCTCTTTACTAGCATCTCGTTTTTCTTCTTGGTCATCTAAAATATCTGCACTACCTTTATGGCTTTCTTCTTTGAACCTATTCTTATGACTGCCATATGATTTATTGCTGATTTCATCATCATCTAAGTGGCCTATAAAGTCTCCATGGTCCAGTATAGAATTTCCTATAGTTTTGTTTTTGTTATTGATATTATTCATATTTTTGCCTCGTTTAAGATTGGTTTTGGAGTCTCCGTGGATAGTAAATTCCATTCCATCACCGATAGTTACTTCTAATTTGTCTTTTGGACTTTTCTTATCTTTAAATATTATCCCATCTGCTAGAATTTCGTCGTCTTGTATATCAAGACCACCGTCACGCGTGTCTGAAAAATATTTCAATTAATATAAATTTAAAATATTAATTAAGGTATAATATATTGAAAGACGGTATTAAATATTTTATTTCACATGAAATCTACCAAGAGAAGAGTTATTAGCGCATGTTAGTTAAAGTAAAAGAGACAAGAAGAGGAAAATAAGTGATAGGTATTGGTTGATTTCAAATGATCATTATAAGCATTAATTTTAAATAGTTTGCCTTATATAGAAAGACGCATGCTGTTCTAGAAGTCTTAAAAATCTAGAATAATTGTTGTAAGGCATGCTCTATTAGAAGACGTATTACTTTATTTTCAAAAATAAGAATTATTCAACCAACCTATATGTAGAAAAGAGCCGAAGCAAATTATTTTGAAGAACAAAATAAACGTGTATTGATTTAATACTATTAACTATAAACAGCGAAGGAACTACCTACATGTTATCAAGTAGTATTATGTTTTGATTTTATATAAACAAAGTGAAGACATTAGACTGGACAGCTAAGTTACTGGACATGCTAAAAGACGATAGACTGTTACAAAGCGCTACAGATTTTGTCAAGCAAGAATCAGCGAGCTATCAGATTGTTGGATAAAAACCTTGGTTCCAACTGTTGGACGGTCCCTCACCTGGAGGCTGATCAGATATTTGGTTCGTCAATTTAAACCTCACTAGTTTAGCAAAGTGCATACAATTCGCCTTGATCCAGTTGATAAACCTCGCGATTCTCTCAAAGGCTTCCGCTATTTTGTTCGTGTCATTGTCGGCTGTTGGAGCGGACAAACTTGAAGATCCAAAGTTGCTCAAAAGCAAGGCTAAGAAGAGGTTCAGAACCTGTGGGACAAGAAAGATCTCAGTATCTGTTTTATTATTTTTATGTTTAATTTACGTACCACAAGATTGCCAATCACGACAGTAGCGAGAAAGAATGGAATACAAGAGACATCTCCTACGTGCATACAATCCCACATTGATTCTATCCATTCTCCGCATAACACTCTAAATACTATCATGAAAGAATGCATAAAATCGGTAAAATTCCATCTCGGCATCTGATGGTCAGGAAATCTGTCCACATTATCTGAAAATATCAAGTTTATTTCGTTAAATTTTATAACTTTTGGTCACAATATATTACCCCAGTAGTTTTTGCCGAAAAGTTGCATACCCATCACGGCGAATATAAATATAATAATGCACAACACAAAGGTCAGGTTACCCAAGGCACCCATGGTTCTCCCCATGATGGATATCAATAAGTTCAACGTTGGCCAAGATTTGGCTAGCTTGAATACCCTCAGCTGGAAAAAGAAAACACATTTATTAGTCAACTCTTTCATCAATGAACATTTATAATATATCACTGAATGAACATAATTAGCATTCCAGGCATTCATTACGTAACCGAATTCTCAGGAATGCCAGGATATATAAATTGAACTGTGTTACGGGGGGTGTTTATGAAGTAAAACTTACCAGTCTGAAAGATCGTAATACAGACAATCCCTGCACGCCTTCTAATCCCAGTTCCAACAAAGACAAGGCTACAATAATGAAATCGAAAATATTCCATCCTTCCTGGAAATAAAACTTTGGACTCATGGCTATTAATTTCATCGTGGCTTCTATCATGAATGTCGCTGTGAAAAACTGTAACAGAAAGTGTGTTTTTAGAATAGATTAAACCGAAATATATTCTTCTTACATAGTTGCCGCTTTTCAGGGCTTTCTCTAGATCAGGATCCATATTATGGTGATCTAACGCCATGAACAGCGTGTTCACAACAATGCACAAGGTGATGAACAGCTCTACGAAGGGATCGAATACAACTAGAGCGACGTACTTTTGTATTTGGAGCCAGCACCAACAGCAGTCCCACACGCAAAACATGTCGATTATTTTTAAAGTGTTTTCGAGAATTCGCTCCTTCATTGTGGGCTCTTCTTCTTCCTCCTCCTCCTCATTATTGGCTGAGAAATAATAAACAGCCACTGTGTAAAAGATAAGTAAAGGTGAGGTTGACACACTCCTTTTGGGGAAAAGAGATTTGGTGCAAGATGCGACAGTGCGACAACTATTCTTAACCGATTTTTGGTTAAGTAGGTTCTTGTTTGAGTTTTGTATTGTCGCTTTTCGAAGCTGGTTGTTTCAGATTACATTCCATGGCTTATTAGTGTAAGATAATGGAATATAATTGAAAAGAAGATGAAAAAAAGAAGTAATTTTAGTTCAAAACTCTGGATCAAGCTGTTTGTTTAGACACTGGGCCATCGCAGTTCGGTTAAGAACAACTAAAGCTGTGAGAGAGCAGTGGTGTTTTAATAATTCTGCTAGGCATCATTCTTGGATACATTTATCTAAATTTACATAAAACATCAAATTGTTTAAGTATTTTTACAAATCCAATATTTAAAGATTTAAGGGAAATATGAATTTTATTTAAATAATGAAAACACACACCAATTTTTTTTTTCACTAAAATGATGAGCTTAAAACATACTGGCTATAAAATATTGGATTTGAATTTGAAATCAACTAACATTAAACATTGTCCTCCTGATATGCTAATTCAACATATAAGACTATAAATGTACTATTACCTAATCTATTCTGGATACGATGGTAGCTAGTAATCTATTCAAATAATACGACTCATGTATAAGGGTAACGAACGATTCAAGACAAAATGAGCACAAGAGAGTAAATGATCTCTTCGAAGCGAACTGGGAGCAAAGTTACTGTGTGCTGTTCAAATGTCTACGGTTTTTTAAGATTTTGTTTTCTAGATATACATTCAGATGCAAAAAAACGCAACAGAAAAAAATTTAGAGTTTAAAGTACCCCTTTTTTATTTTTAGCCCTCATTTCGTATTTTTTTTATCAAACTGTATATAGATAGTATATATACATATATCTACTTTAATTGGTAAACACAGTTTTTTACACACTTTTGTATTGGGCTTATTATACAGGGTTAATCGAAGAGTTGTTTTTTATTCTTAGTTTAAAACACCCTGTGCAATAATTTCGTGAGTAAATTTTCCTTAATCGTTATTTTTCGGTTAGATCAATAAACGCCTTGGTTAATTTTTAAGAGCGAAATGAACTTGCCACCAGCAGTTTGCATTTTCTTCAATTGTCATGACTTTTAAGTTTTTTTAAAAGGACAAGGTGGATTTGGTGACTATTGTCTTTATGCCATATTGACAGTTACATTTTGTATATCTACGATTTGACGAACTGTAAATACCTCACATTCTCGTCTAGAACCCCTTCATATCGATCTCTTCTTTGCACCGCTGTATGACCGCTGTTAAATGAGGGTTTCGCAAAGAGTTGATTCTGATATATCGATTATCTAGGGCGGTAGTTTTGAGCTTCCTACCACTTACCTGCCTTACGCTTATTTCGAACAGTTTGTCTAAAACGTTCCACTTCTCTTGATGACCGTAATCATAGAGCAATGAATGTGTAGTACCCTAGTCACATATTCATAATTTCGTCTATGTTCAACAAGAATAACGTCTTTTGAACAATCTTCAACACTAAAACCTATCGTAGGTATACAAAATGTAATTGTCAATGTGATATTACGATAAAATTCACTAAAGCCACCTCTTCGTATTAAAAAAAGTCATATATTGATATGAACCAAAAAGCAAAATGCTCAGTAGTCATGGTTCTAACCGAAAAATAATGTTTTAGAAAAAGTTACTAACGAAATTATTGCACAGGGTGTTTTAAAGTTAAGGTAAAAAATAACCCTGTATAATAAATCAAATACATAAGTTTTAAAAAAACTGAGTTTACCAAATAAAGTAGATATATTTATATACAGTTTACTAAAAAGCTGATAAAATTAGGACTAAAAATAAAAAAATTATACTTTAAATTTGACGTAAACTTTTTCCGTTGCCTGTTTTTAGATCTGAGTATATATCTGAACTATCTGTGCTCTATATAACACTTATAATATGTGCTGGACGTTAAACTGGTTATTTTCTATTTACCTAATCGAATGTTTCTTGTTATTTTATCCTCCGTAATGTTACAGTATAGCAAAATATCTTAATTAGTTCACATTCTAGCAACGGTGCCCTTTTATGTAGCTATGTTGCTAGTCTTGTGTTGTTTGAAAAGCGAATTGCGATGGTGTGTTTGATAATATTGGTGAAGTTATGGATGCGATTGTTTTATTTCAAGTCTAACTTACCTCCGTGTTCACCGTCTGTTATTTCTCTGCCTGCAGCTTGTTCTATGATGTCGTTCAGCACCATTACATCTATAAAATATTAATCATCAGGAAACGATTTTAAATTTAATCTTAATTTACCTTTCATATCCACCACCGTTTGCCTCTGGCTGATGTTGTCTATGAACGGATTGTCTAGCGCTTTCATCTTCTCACAGAGCTGACTAGTTGGTCCATCCTATAAAAAGAAAGAGATCCGGAGTAAATTCATCAGTTCTTATCATAAATCGGAATTGATTGCTGACACTACTTACGTAATCACCCATTTTGGGCTTGTGAGTGAACTCGGTGAAGTTATTTCCGGTCATGGCTGGTCCGTTCCTCATGGAGCGCATGAGGAGTTGCGTTTCCTTGGTCATAACCTTTCCATTGCCCCCGAAACCGCCCAACAGGTCTCCGTGTGAGGTGTAAGACATCCGTGAAGCGTGCGAAGTGTACGATGAATGGCGTGATCCTAATTTTGAGGGTATTACGGTTAAACAACTCAACAAAAATTCTCGATAACTGCAGAAAATTATCTCTATCGCACATCCTATAGAGATATTTTTTGCTTTAACGAGATATGTGCCTGTGCACGTGTTCTCTATTCAATAATTAAAATTTTGTTCTTAAGTTATAGTAACTTTAATTATTGACGATATTAACATATTCTTATACGTACCTAAATTGGCGTAGTACATGGGCACGACCATGGCACCATTTTCCTCGCTCATTGGTGTTACAGCATTCGAATCGTCCGCATAGGGTAGATGTTCCTGGGCATCGAGATAAGTAGATAGAACCAGAGGTTTCCTGTCGCCTGGCGGCGCCACCATGCGCCGATTGTTACGCGCAGTAAATTGGTGCGATCCCCTCGAGCCACGGCGCAGATTGAACGGAGATCCCGGGAGACTCAGACTGGCCTGAACACGGGACATGGTCTATACATGCATGAGGCTTTTAAACTCGGATGATTGCGTGTGATGGTTGATTGAGATAGAGAATACTTTGTATGAAACTTTTTGTTGTGGGCCATGTCTCGTGTTATATGTATGTCAAACGAAAGGAATGGGTATAGAGAACTAACAGAAAATGACTAATGACAGCTACTCGCTAAGTAAGGTAGCAATTTGGGCTTGCAAATGAAAGATACTCAAATGAATTTGCGAAAACTAAAAGTAAAGTGCAATGTGTTTGCTAAACACCCTTCCTCGGCGAGGCCTGATGTTTATCAAACCAAGTCCGGACACTATAATTGTCATGATTTTTATTTAAGTAATTTGGAATTTCATTTGATATACCGGGTGACCACGGATTTCTTGTACTGGCTGTAGTCTTATTACCATTTTGGTTTAGTGTCAGCTTAATTAGAATTCGTAAAGATACGGATGGGAGCATATGGACAAGAAAGTTATATTGTTTAAAAAAGTTAGGTAACTTAAGAGTATTAAAAGAATATGATAAAATTCAAGTTGTTCTCGACGACTTGTGTTATGCAATTTTTGTTCAGATTTGTGTTTTTTTATTGTGATTGGTGACTGAAATCGGTAATAAAAAAGCAGGTCGTACTGGAACGATATGATCAGTCACCCGGTAGACTCAGTATCAATCATGGGGCTCAAAATAACAATCAGGACACTTACAGCGCTGACTTTCCGCATCTTGGTGGGATTAGTGGGAATTCTTCTCTGCTCACTCACAGAATCTAATCCTTCCGATCTTATGCTCATCTTTTCTTTGTTATTGTCGTCCGTTCCTTTGGGCTGGTTCACAAACAGTTCGTAGCTTTGACAGGAGAAATCCGACGGTGATTTGACGATATCGGTGCTGCCAGCCCCCGCAGCTGCGACTCGTGCAGCTTCTTCAGCTGCTGCAGCTCTAGCATCAGCGCGGTCTTGTTTCGCTTGAGCAGCTTTTTCAGCTTCCTGTAATATTTATTTAACGTTTTCAATAATCATCTATCAGATACCCTTCCAGTTAAAAAAGAAATACAGAACCTAAGAATATAATATTATGTCCTTCAGCAAAAAAAAGTTTAACTAGTGTTTCATTTGTTACTTGTTACTGCTTTTTAATTAGGGATTGCTCTGTTTATATCATTAATTATGAATGCTCATAAATATTAGATATACCCTTCGTGAATGTGAATAAATCGATAATCAGACTCCCGTGTGTGCACTGTAAATTGGTAATCAGTAAATTATAATTTGATTAAATCCGTATTTTCGAAATTGTCGGTAACAGAACATAAAGATTTCGGAATTGATATTAATGGCTAGTTTGTAGTGTTTGGACTTACTCGTATCGCTTCTTCTTCAGCTGCTTCTTCCTCTTCGGCTTTCTTCTGCAGCTCGTCGTACGACATGGCGACAATGGCTAAGATCAGATTCACTAAATAAAACGATCCCAGAAATATAATGACGATGAAAAACAACATGTGCCACGGTCCAGCTGAACGTAGGACCTGCGAGATTAGAATAAAGCAGTTCCAGTTATTAGAGGTTAAGGAGATTGGTAGAAAAAAACATACCAGTTGGTACAAATTTTCCCAGTAATCCTGAGTCATTAGTCTAAAGGCAGAAAGGAAGGCCCAGCCGAATGTATCGAAGCTCGTATAACCGTAGTTTGGATTATCTCCGTAACCTTGCAGGCACATATAGCCAGGTTTGCATTGACCTGCTCCAGATGAGTTCCCACACAGTGGTATTTCACCTTTTTCCTCATCAAAATACCAATTGGCTAAAATATTTTTTTTCAGAAATTTCTTATTGCAAGTCGAAATATCGCAACTTAGTCTTACTTTCGTTTTGATTGAACCTTTCCCAATTTTCGTCTGTAAGGTTACCCCATGACCCGTCCATTGGAAAAACTTTGATACATTTTTGCGTGAGAACGCCCATATAAATTTGTAAACCCATCAAAGCAAAAACGGAAAGAGAAAACATTGTTAAAATTATCACATCTCGTAGATTTTTGACTGATTCAATGACAGCGCCTACGATGGTCTTCAAACCTGCAATTCGTCAAACTTGTCAGTATTTCAGCTGTCTCCGGATTTTTTTTGCTTACCCGGAACAATGGCAACAGTTTTTAGAGCTCTCAGCACCCTAAATGTTCTTAAGGCAGCTAAATTTCCCAAATCTATACCCATAGTAACATAACTGAAAAGTCAAAATAACTTTTAGTTGATAAGTACTCCCTAGGTCTGTTTGCTTCTAAAAAGTCCTCTAATAAGCCTTAAAGTAGTTAGTATGTTAACTAGGTAAAGTTTATATCTAATGCATAGATAATAATAAAAACAGTGCCAATAATCGATGTTTTAATTTTAATGTAAATAGTTAAGAAATAATATTCTAAGATGTATAGGTAGGAGGATCTATAACAGTTATTCTAGTTCAAATATTATAACTATGGACTAATCTATGATATTAAATTATATATAAGGTTCTTTAAATCTAATAACTCTTTAAAAAACAATCATATCTGTCTAATATTAATTACATTATTAACTACTCACTTTATATCTACTGTAATAAAACAAAGATGAAAAGTTTTTGTAAATCACTCACATATTTTTGATTGCATTTTGGCAAAAATAACAAATAAAAGATCAATTTTTCATAGCTGTGGAACAAAGGGGACATTCATTTTTATTATTTAGTAATAAAATTTTACTAAAATACAATATAATCTATTAAAGTATTAAAATGGAAGCAATTTTAATACTTCGCTACTTAATTTTAATATCAAGTATACATTTATATCTTTAATTCTTGCAAGAGCTGACATATTAAGAATTAGTGATAGATCACTTCACTGGCTTAAAATTTTAATGTTATATATTAGATAACATTTGGCTTGAAATATTAATAAATGAATTTAACATGATTTAAAGTTATTCTTATCTGTTATCCATTAAGGCACAGTCAGGGTTATAGAAATTCGGCTTATAGAGTTTTCGAACATGCGAAAAGGGGACTAGAAATTTTCAACACGCCATCCAATTTGTAAAAATGGCATTTATCATATTAACGTCAAAAGTTTACCTAAGAAAACAGACATTTAAATGGTTTAAAATTATAATTTGCTAAAATTTCTAGAATTCATAATTACTTCAAGTGATAGAATCATAGAATTATATCCGTGTGACATGAAATTGCAGTATTGTATTTTTCTACGTCATCAAAATATATAAAACGAATAATAGAATGATTTAATTTAGAATTAATTTTACTGAATTATATATTATATTATTTAGCTTGATATTATACAAAATCATTTATAGAAATTGGGTCAAAATCAAATATATTATTGTCGAAACAGCCCAAAATTTATCGAGTTTAACTTCCTTTTGCTTTTGTAAATCAAGCTGAAAATAGGTAAATTGATTAGCATGTCTATCACAGAAAGGATATGACAATGAATTATCTTTGAAATTATCTGCGAACAAAATAAAATAATTTCTATGTGCTGTTGTTTAGCAATAAGTTTAAGTTCTATCACTGTTTCTCAAGCTGTACTCTTCTCAAATAATGACAATGACAGAGAAAAATTAGGAACCTAATCTAAAGAGACTATCTAGTTTTCTAACTAAACTACTCACGCTAAAGCTATGACTACGAAGTCGAGCCAATTCCATGCATCTCTAAGGTAGGTGAACGGTTGAAGAATAAAACCTCTCGCCATCACCTTCACTGCTGATTCGAAGGTATAGATGCCAGTGAATATTACTCTGAAAATCACAAATCCTTCTGGCTACTCTAAACACACACCAAATAAAAGCTTCTAGCCTAAGTCCACCTACACCTCCCACCGAAATCAAGCCAGTATTCAGAGATAGACTACCCTAACTGGTGATTTTAGTGAGAAACGTTTAATCATTTTAGTAGAGATCCGACTGCAATACGTTTAATAACCTTAGAGAGGTCCAGAATGATGGAGTTGCAGGCGTATCTTAGCAATATTATGGATTTAAAACAGTGTATGTAGGGTTTCCATAAGTTTCTGGAAATTCCGGACAAGTGACCTCTGAAACCCGGAGGAAAAAACCGAAAAATAAATTATGAATTTATTTACGTAATTTTTTTTGTTGTGTGTCGTTTAATCGACAGGTAAATTGTACTTTCTGTCACTGTTTGTCAGATGTGATGTGACGATATTCTTCCATGACTCGTTGGATAGACTTTACTTTAAAGGGAAAATTAAAGGCGGTTGAAAAAGTATTCTCTTGCATTTGTCAGCAATATTACGAATTTTACTGCATACGTTACAATTGACATCACAATTTGATTATCCACACGCTTTTGTTTTGGCATTAAATAATAGTAAAATTAAATATTGCACGTTATATACCGACACTTCCAAACCAATTTACCTGTTGCATCTAGAGTTAACATGAGCTAGAGTCCGTACAGTGAATCAGGGAAAATTTCGAGAGATGACATTCCAAAAATGACAGGAACTACAATTTACTTGTCAACGAGTAAATTGTAGTGCACCGAACCGAAAACGAGTGCACCGAAACCGAAAAAAATTACGATATAGATATGAATACATTCGAACAATGTCAGTTTAGTAAATATGTAAGTGTACGTCCAGAGTGCACCGGCTCTAAAACGATTAAAATATTCAAGAAAGTTAGGATTTTAAGGTTAGACAACCCTGGACATGTCCTGGTAAATTTAGACGTATGGAGACCCTAAGTGTAGGTATTAAGTAAGCTATAGATACGCAAATGGTACTTACTCTGTTGATTCTACGGTGGGTGTTGTTGGCATGATCATTAGAATACAATTGACTAGAATGGTTGTAATAATAAAAAGTGAAAACAAGGGATGTACTAAAATGTAAATCGCCACACGACGGATGGGATTAAAAGGATCTAATATCCAAAGGGCATTAGTTGCACTGAATCTAAAAATATCTTTTCCTTTACTTATTACTACGAAAGTCTGAAACAAAAGAGAAAAATTAAATAATCTTCCTACATCATCTCGATTTTTATCTCCATAAAAGTTGGCAATATTTTTATTTGGTGTTACAAACCGAAATATTAGCCACAGCGAAAAGAAAACCAAAGTCTTTTTCTGATCACGGTTCTTTTTTATTAGACGCCTAGCTTCAGGGCAACTTGAAAGACGATTAAAGCTGAAGATTAAAAAACGCTTCTGCCTTTTAAGGTATTGTCGTTATACTGTTTCTTTTTGACCGCAAAATTCGCAATTAAAATTCTTGTAATTTTTTTTGTATACATATACTAATCGGGTAAACTTTTTTTTAGCTGAGATCGTTTATAAAAAAAATAACAAAACGTCCAGTATATGGAAGCGTCCCCAAACACAAAATCATAAAAATTTCTCTGCGTAAATACACCATTCTCTTTTTTCCGACTTTAGAATGCCTGAAATCAGTTGCATGAAAACATGTTCCTGCTTTACATACTAAACACTTTTCTTGTATGGGTATGAACTGAAAAAAATGAAACTAAAGCAATCAAAACACGCTGTAAGCTAAAACGCGCCTGTTTACCAATTTCAATTGACGAGTGCTTTTCAGATTTTGCTATATTTTACAATATTTTATCAATATATGAAAACGTTACACTTCCCCAAAAAGTTTTTTGCATGTCTATGTATTATGATACATTTTCGCAGAATAATTAGACATACGATTCAAAAAAGCTTCCAAATACTAAATCAACAAAGATTTCTTACATTATCTTTTTCAGCTAAACTAAAGTAGTCCTGATTTCAGCAATTCTAAAGTTGAAAAACTGAAAATCATGCACTTCCGCAGAAAAATTAGACTAGGTACTATTCAAAAAGGCTTCCAAATACTAAATAAACAAATCTTTCTTACATAACTGATTTCAGCTAAACGAAAATTGAGTCAATGAATGCCACCCACGTTTTCAAAATAATAAATTCCTAGTATGCCATATATAACCATTCATTTTTATAATATATCGTAAATGACTATAGTAAAAGTCTATAATAAAAGAATATTTTCTGAGATATATTGAAATATTTCTTTACCTTCTCGTTTTCGTATTAAATCTTTCAAATTGTTCGCCCAAGTACAAGCGAATTTGTAACCTTGAACGTGAAAAGCGCGTTTTATTTTTTTTTGTCTTTCATATATATTTTTTATAATGTTATCTTTTCGGATGTCCGTTTTTTTTACTTGCGTTTTAAATTCGAGGGGAAAAAAACAAATCAAAAAGGATAAGCGCTAACACGGGGGTCTCTTGGGAGGGTTGCTGGTCCCTCATCCCTTAGCTCTCCCCTGATAGGAAATGCCCGGGATTATGAAGTGATATCGCGGGAATTAGAATATCTGAGATGAAACCCCGACTAATTTTAACTAGATTCTGGTCAATTTATAAGCTGGTTACTATAATAGTTACTCTTATTTCATATGTAGTTGATTTAACAAGCAGAAAACTTGAAGAAATTCTTAAATGACGATATATGGCAGAAAGAGAACTTGAAATGACTAAAAGGACAAAGGAATAGAACCTATAGTGAATATCCTCACAAAATAATACGTAGATTCATAGACTTGTACGTCTATTACCTTGGTGCGTTTCAGTTTAAAAATTCCGATCGCAGCGCATGATACGGCAGAAATTAGAAGTGCTCGTTACCGTTTATGTCGATTGCATTACAATAATATTAAAATCATGGCTTTGTCATAATATTTAAGTATTTTAATTTTCTACTAGCGCAGTTATTGAAACTATAAAACATTCAGGTAGTAGGTTTGTCTAATGTAACGCTGTTCCGGGTAGTAAAATTAAGTGAAAAAGAACCAGAACTGGCCGTGGCATTGTGTGGTGACAATTTCAGATGTTAATAAAATTGGCGACAAAATGTTATCACGTAAAAGAGGGCGTAAGGAGGCTTCTAAAATTATCATTATATACCTTTATAAAAAATTTCGTTATAGCCTAAATAGCTCCAGTTATGTCCCCACTAGCAAAACCGGTGCGTAAAACTATGCTCGCTACCGCAGTTGAACTCTTATAAAAAGTTTTATTAGCTTGAATAATAAATTATAGTACAAGAGACCTTTTGAAGATATCAAAATATTTACTTTTTTATTTTTTTGGGGAATTTTATCAAATTATATTTACACTACCTAACCTAACACTTTTAGAATATAAAAATATTTTTTTACAGTGGATTATTAATCAATGTTACAATTTTTCCCGATAGTGGCAGCACCGGCGGAGAATGCACCAAGTCTATAGGCTTGGCACATAATGTTCTACTAAGCAGTTTCAGTTCAAAATATGTTTCACTTTTCTTTTTTAAAGAGATACTGTCCACTTGCTGACAATAGACTGTCAGATTATAATACTTCCTTTATAAACAAAATTCTCAAACATATCGCTAAAAATAGAAGCGTAGGGGGCATAATTTTACTACAAAGTGTTACACGGTGCCAAACATGAATGAAAACAGACTAAGAGAGGATTCCTTAGATACTATAGAATCGTACGCACAAAATAACAAACTCTCGTATAACACCCACTGTTTTATCCCTTAAACCCTTTAAATATCTTAACAGGTCTATTTACTATTCCATGTCTCGTGATTCGAGTCACCTGCATGCATTGGCCATGGAGCATACCTAATAATAAACTTACTGCAAATTCTGTAATTGTCAGTCGCACATTTTTAATGATCACCCTGTAAATTTGTTTTATGTTCTGTTTCGTGCTTGGTACTAAAATGCTTGAATGTTTATTATAAAATACAGACGAAAACACAATAAACCTCTTAGACTGCATTACATAAATTTATAAAAAAAACTACCCTAACCTGCGTTTCTTCTTTTTTGGATCTTAAATCCTGAAGGTATTTTTCATTGATTCAACTTTGATATTTCGTATAATATACCATACGGTCGAAAAAAGACTGAGTATCTGAAAAGCAATTTTAATTTCGACCTCATCAACAAGAATTTATTTTGGGTTGTTTGCGGGTTAACTAAACCAAACCAAAACTCGCTATTGGGAATTTTTGTCTGTTCTGCTATATAAATTCTTTTAATTAAAACGCAAATTTAATTATGGCTGTGTAAACTAGGCTGTTTTTTTGTAAACTTATTCAAAACGGGCTTAAATCAAATTGTTTTTGATCGATCGGTAGAATTTTCTTGCGTAGGTACTTATCTATAACCAACAAATTCCTACTTAAACTAATTATTTATCCCTTACGCCCTTCCTGCATATAAATACCTTAGTTAATGAAGCTTTTGAACCGGCCAAATTGATTACGATCATCAATTGAAATTTGTGTATTCGAGATAAAAGTTTTTTGAGGGCTGAAATTAATAATAAAACCTTTTCAAACTCTGGAGGGGACTGTATTATATTTTACATCAACTTTTGGAGTTTGCCTGTTTAAAAAAAGGGTTAAGATAAATGTTGGATCGTCTGATTATCGTACAAAATTACCGTAATATTTTTTTGGGGGGATTTACCTAGTATTCTTAATAATAATAACTTTATTTCAAAATATTTCAGTGTCAGTATATCTGTTAGAATATAAACTAGAATAAACGAGATAATTTTTGTACTTTAAAGTAGCCACACACATTTAGTGTTTGTTGAGTTACAAACTGCAGTTTTGCCTTGAGAAAAAACTGTATGTATGTGGCTACCTCTAGGGTTGCTTAGAGGTGTAAATTTCAGAAAAAAACAAATGGATGACTTTAAGACCTTACCATTTGGTTACTATAAAAGGGGTCGATGTCCTCAAGTGGTGTGCTGGCAAGTTCTGGAGGAAAATTACCCTGAAGCCTAACCGGCAGGGGCAACCCTTGCTCCAGTGTCTGGTCAGGTTGGGGGCCTTCATCTTCGTCCTCGTCTTCATACCGAATCTATCACATTTCAAACTTTAATCACATCTGCCTTGGACAGATTTCTATCATTCGGGTTAATAGAGAACAGTGTCCAAAACGAAATTAGCATTTTCTAGGCAACTTTAAGTCTCGTAGAAAATTTTGTTTAAAAAATAAATCGTTTATATCACTGAAAGAGGAAAAATCCAGTATAATCTCCTTATTTTTATAATCATATTATCCTGTACAGGATGTCCCATTTTAGTTGAAATTATACGGTATCTTCGTTATTAGTAAAGATGGGAAGATGCAGTTTGAACAAACCTGTCCCACTTTTTTGTCAAACGGAAGATGCATTACAGGATATTTTTGAAAATTTTGCAATTTGGGACAGCCCCCTGTCTCTGTTATTCTAAAAGTTATCGAGAAGGTAACAAATATTTCTTATACAATTTTTTATGTAAAATATGGTGACGTAGTCTGCTTTTTTTTGGGAAAAAATACTAAAATTTTTTTTTTCACATAGTAACACCTTGTATATGAACTTCCCAAAAATATATAACACTCTCTATTCATTTTTACTATTTACTGCAATATTTAAAAGTATTATTTTCTCGTTAGTAGGCTGTGATAGATAATAAAAAAAATTAAAATGGTATTTACTCTAAAATAGTCGTTAAAATTTCATTTTTGACTAAATAATTTTGTTTTTGAAAGTTCTTTCTTTATAACGGGGTGGATCTGCAAATAAAAAAAGCTTGCCTGATAGCATTCATGAAAACTTTGAAATATTGCACAGTAAATAGTGAAAATAAATATAGAGTGACATATATTTTTGAAAAGCTCATGAAAATCCAGATTATATGGTTTATAAATATATACAGGGTGGTCTATTTAAGAAAATATACATAAGTTCAATCTCTAAAAATATTTTTATAAACGTATATCAAGTATAGCAAATATTAATTTCATTTGACAGAAAAGTAGTAAAGGTTTGTGCAAAACGCATCTTTCTATCTTCATTAATAACAGAGATACCGTATGATTTGAACTAAAATGGGACACCCTGTACACTTTTACTACATCGGAAAGTGTATTGAGAAACGATTAAGCCGGCTTTTGACGTCAAATATATCGATTATTTTCGGAATGATATTTTTTTAGGGTGAATTAAAATCTAGCAGGACGAGGTAAAAATAGCTATCAAATATTTGAACAATCTATTCATATTTTATTTGGATTAAGACTTAATGAAGAATATTTTTCTATTTTGTGCCTTTACCTAAGTTTCTTTCTATATACTAATAAGTGCCAACTAAAGTAATATTTTTTTCATAATTACCTAGAAAATACTATTTTTTTACTAAAATCCTTTTAATTAAGGAATTTAAAAACTTATATTAATATTGGTTTTAAAATATAAACAAGTGTTTATAATGTGGTTGTGTGTGCCAATATTTTGAGAATTTAAAAATTTTTGGCGGAAGTTTTCAAAAAAAATCTACAGTAAAGTTGCATTTTGTATTTTTATGAATTCACGTTCATCATGCATAAATACCATAATATTACATACCGTTTGTTTGTTCCAAACTTACTAATTAGATTTTAGGCTCATACTGATTTCTAATTAGAAACTTTGAAACTCTTTTTTTATAAGGCATTCATTTACTGTAGTTTTTCAGAAATGTGCTTGTTTTGACAGTGTAGACTGTTGATCAATACAAGTGTTTTACTAAACTTGTGGCTATCTACCCAAATAATGGCAGTCATATCTAAAAATATAAAGCAGCCTCGAAATTTTTCTAAAATTCTAACATACAATCAACATGAATTAGGTAACAGACTAAACTTTCTATTGTCTACATTGCCTCAAAAGATTTGTAACAGTAAAGTTTGAACGAAAACAGGTGTTGTGGTGATCTTTTTTCTTTTTTTTTATGGTGTGCGGTGTCAATATGAATTTCAGCCGTGTCAAAAACAGCTGATATGCACCGTTAACGTTTGGTTTCTTCGAAAAAAAATTCTAGAAACTCAACATGTGTTCTGTCGTTGTGTCAAGCAGGTCCAAAATGCACTAGAGTGGCTTAAGCAGCGTAAACGTAAAAGAAAGCTTTTAATTTTCGATGCAACTGACGATTTCAAATAAGCTTTATGTCGAACGGTTTTTTTAAGTATAGGGTAAACCACTGTAAATACTCCATGCAAGAGAAAATCAATAATGCCAAGTTTTGATATGCTTAGCCGAGTGTTGGAAAATGCCTATTTTTCTTGTAATAATAGCTAGATGTTCAGAATACGAAAACGATTATCTTATTGGATTTTTTTAAGCCAAAATTTTTTTGTTATGCTAATGCTTACTTTAGTCAATGATGTGTTTAGTCGACTATACAAACATTCTTTCAGATACTTTTAACATATTTTATCTCTATCGTAGGACTTAGATTTTTAAATTTTCATATAATAATGATGACTTGTATTTTAATTAAATATTTTTGCTCCAAGACCAGCTAATGTTTTCTCTTATTTTCAAAACCTTTAAAATAATAATAGATAATAAAATTATGAAAAATAAGATTTTTAGAAAAAAATTTGTAACTTTAGAGTATTTAATTAGTTAATTAGAGTTTATGCAGTTTTATGGAAATTAGAGAATGTACTAAAATCGTAAATTTTCATGGCTATGATGGCCATTTTTGGCTATTTTTTACAGATGTTCAAAGGGCTTAGAAAAATAGTAATCATAGTCATAAAATTATGAAAATTTCAGGGTTTGTAGAAAATTTTATGTAGATTCAGAATATTTACACCTTTAAAGGCTTTAGAATCTTTGAACCCTTGTTTTTTAGCTATTTTTGATGATTGTTAAAACGCTCCTTACATCTATTACTGTTCTCGTAAGACTACAGTGGTCGATATTTTCTTATTCTACACCTTTTATATAGTAAAAAAGCAGTTTTACCAAAATCGGTGACATGTCGAAAGTCACAAATATTCACGACTAAAAAAAATCGAAAATACTCATTTTTGGCTATTGTTACACATTTTCAAAGGCCTTAGAAAAATAGTAATCATAGCCATAAAATTATAAAAATTTCAGCATTTATAAGAAATCTTATGTAGATTCAGAATATATAGACCTTTAAAGGCTTACATATTTTTGTTTTGTGTGAAAATTTTTTACATCCTTTACTGTTCTCGTAAGATTACTATGGTTTATAGTTTCTTATTCTACGCCTTTTAATTAGTAAATAACAGCAGTTTTAACTAAAACTGCGAAATCACGAAAATCGCCAATTTTCACGACTATATGTATGAAAAAAAGTCGAAAAATTAATTATTAATTATTATGTTCGGCTATTTTTAACACCTTTTCCAAGGCATTAGAAAAATAATAATCATAGACATATAATTGTAAAAATTTCTGTATTTTTAGGAAATGTTATGTAGATTCAGAATATACACAATACACAAACCTTTGACGACTTAGATATCTTGGTTTTGTTGGAAAATTATTTTTTTGAAACTTTGTTTTCAGCTATTTTTGATGATGGTTAAAACTGTCTCCTATATCCAGTATTGTTTCCGTACGACTATATTGGTCTATATTTCCTTATTCTACATCTCTTAATTAGTAAATAACAGCAGTTTTAACTAAATCGGTGACATGACCAAAATCGCTAATTTTCATGAGGTCATCGTAAGATATTGAGTTGGTTTACCCTATATCGTTTGTTTAATATACTCTATCGTCAGACGCATGATATTAACAGCTAAAAAGCATTTTTTTGTGAGCATTTTCATTGGAGAAATCTTACTTCTTTTTTCTTTTTCCTTCGTCCAAAACCGGGCTGCAATGAAGTTTGAATTTTTAACATTTATAAAGCCACATCGCCTTTACATCACCTATCTACTCACATCACAAGATTCAGATAATAAACTGTTGAATCAATTTAGGAATAGGTGCATTGAAATGATAACAAAATTGAATGGTATCTTGCACTATTAAATTCTTGTGATATGTTGGAGAAAATGTCATGTTATAATATGAAGAATGTGGGACCTTCGATAATTTATGAATAAGGAGAAAATTAAAAACCAATGACGCGAGATAAACGGTTGTGTACATTAACAGACCTTATTCACACTATATATAGACGATTCTTTGTCTAGAATTTTTTATTTTTTATAAAACAACCATCTTCAAACAATATTCTAGATTTGAGAAGTATATAATAGGTTTAATATATACGACTATCTTTTTTAGCCCTTATGTAATAAATCGCCTAATTTATTAAATAACTTTAGGGTTTTATAACACTCCAAACTGTAATAAAAGAGGAATTATGTGCGAAATCCAAGTATAAACGGTTCATGACCATGCTATATTTGATATAATTTTAAAAGTATTATAATAATTGAAAGTAATATAATGGAGATTTTTTTTTAAATTTAATAGATGACCGTAGTATATTTCAGACTACTATAAAAATGCTATTATGAAAGAATTCTAAATAAAAAAATCAGAACTTGTAAGTCTCGTATTGGAAATATAATTTATATATAGGGTATAAAATTTCCTGTTCTGCCCTACTCGGTATAAGGTTAGGATAATAAAATACTGCCTTTTTAAAAAATATGTTAAAATATATTGTTTAAACGCCATTAATGTAGAATATATTCTTCTTACTAATATTGTATTAATTTTATTACAGAAAAAAACTTCATGACAGAAATAGAAAATATATTTTTCCTCATTCAGAAGTCTTTTATTCACCTATACTTCGAAAAGGCCACAATTCTGATCAAACACGTCACTACAAATCATGCGAAAATAAAGAAAAAATGTTTGTATCAATATATTTCAACCTTTTTTCTATAAGACGCCTTTATATTATTTTTATTTTATTTTTCCCACCTTGAGAGTGTAGATTGATTTTTTCAAGCATTTTTTTGCTTAAAACAACATTGTTTGAGAGATTTGTTTTATAAGTTATAGCTGATTCTAAGTCAAAAATATTTCTAGACATATTGAAAACATGCTTTAAAATCTGTTATTGTACATGATAAAATATTTTGTTTTTTCCAATTACAATGTTTGTAACCTTATGACCGCCAATTGTAGGGTATAGCCTTATGTCTCGTTGTTTCAAGTTCTCAGGTGTGTTACTTTTCTTACAAATACAACACATAGATAAGAGGCATATAATAGTTCATGCAAATATCCTCAAGCAGTATTGGCAAAGATCTATATAACTCCTGGAAAGTATATATTTTGATTTAAATTATAATCGTATATACAAATTAAAACGTTTTTTTTAATACACATATTTTATTTTCCTAGAATAATTTTGATTTTTTTTAATTTAATTTAAATAAAAAAATATGATTTTTAAAATGTTTTTAACAATTGGAAGGGTTAAAACAAAGCTGTTAAAAGTTAGCAACAATACAAAAGAAGAGAAAAAAGTGAAAGAATTTATTATTTAATACAAAGGTTGGAATTCATTTGGAAAATAAATTTTTCTTTCCTGCTTTTACGAGTTTTTGCCAAGTGGAAGAAAGAAAAGTAGATGGTTCATAACTTTGTAAAATTGATAAAGAAAGTAACTTGCGAAGAGGTCATCCTAAAAAAAAGTTACGAAGCTCTTGTTTGAAATTTTAAGGCCTGTACTGAGCAAACAATGCAATAATGACTCACTCTAATAAAAGAACAGAAAATGAATGGTGACATACGTGGGCCATTCCATAGATAAATTGACAACACTTGCATTATTATTAATATTTTATTACTTCAGAAAAAAAATTAGGAAGAATGTATAAATCTTATGGAATTAAAATTTGTTTTATAATGAACCATGTAATCAGTGGTTCCAAGTGTCAAAAATATGTCAGAATGGAATGACCTATATGTTAGTAACTAATACGACATCGATAAATGAAGCATAGAGGATTAGGGGGGTGAAGTGTGAAAGTAGAGGAAGTAGAAGTTCACACATAAACAAATAATCATCGGCTTGTATTTAAAGTAATCATCTGGTACCTACCGGAGTCAATTAATTTTTGTCACAATTTCAGGCAATTTTGGTTTTTCTAACTCTAAAAATAAATTATTCTAATCAGACTCTGAAAAACTTTTAGTTATATACATATAAACTTGAAAATATGGATCTAAACGCAGTACCAGATGAGTTTTTTTAGAACAGTGGACATATATAGCCGAGACTATTATTTTTATGCGTGCACCATGCTGGTAAAGGCTACGTACTTCTCCTTCAGCTCTCTTCTTTTCGAGCTCTTTCTGTTTGGCATGTTCTTCGGCAATTCGAGCTTCGATGGCGGCCAATGACTCGCGAGTGAATGGACGGAATAGGCTGCGCTCCTCCTCAGAGAACGAGTCAGAGACGACGGACATGTCTCCTCTCGCCTAGGCCCCCACGATACCCTGGAATCACAGATTAATCCTCAATTTAGACCTCCCTAATGCCCAATGCCATCCTTAATTCCTAATGCCCTCCTTAATGCCTAATGCCTTCCTTAATGTCCTTATTTTCCAATGCTTAATGTCCCGTTTCCTAATTGTATTATTGTTAATGTTCCTAATGCCTAATACCTTTTAATTCTCTGTGTAAGCATATTCAAATATCAGAGTGTTTTCTGTAATTTCGACTGCCCTCTAATTTCTAAAGCTTCTTATGCCTAATGCTTTTATTTTTTTTTTCTAGAAATATCCAAAAATGTATTTTCTTTTTAATGCCAAGTACGTTTCTTTTAAAGTTATAAATTCTACGAAATAAAGCTATTATAAACCTTGTTTTAGACATTTTTAGAACATTGTATTTAATGGTTTATACCACTTTTATATCATATCTTATAGGACCTCACAGTGTATGTATCCTATACCAGAGCAAAAATCAACAAGTGACACGGCAACAAAACTTATGCTTCCACTCAGGTCAAATAAGATCGATTTTGGGTTCTTAAAATGTAGAAACAGCAAAGAGCATTCCCTTGGGCGGCTGTTTGGACTCCAGTAAGAAGCAAATAAATATTTATGTTTTATTTATAAACAAGCAATCGTAAAAGGAAATTTAAGATCAGGCCGTAAAATGGTTTTTAAATTGCATTGTAAAGCGCTAATATTTAAATTTTAAATGCTGATATTGTTCGTCGACAATCACTGTGTCAGAAAATATCTTCGAATTTAATTCATACTGTTTATTAGTTTGGGTTTTAAAATTACGAAAACTTATAGTATACAGTCGTGTGAAATAGTCATATTTCCAGTATCTGGACAGTTAGAGATATGTGTGCTCCCAAACTAAGGGAGTATTCATTTGATTGTTGACGGAGAAATATAGGAATTTCTGATATCGGATTTTCTGTGGGCGTTGGAGACAAACTCAGTTAAATTAATAAACTTTAATCAGTAATTTCAACAAAAGGCTTTCTCGAGGAAGTTTTAATTTATTTCCATCTTTTATCATTAGCAAGAGATTTAAATAATTGTATGTCGATTTATAATCATTAGATTAATTAGTATTATTGTTTCTCAGTTACAGATACCGAAAAAACAAGCCAAGAATTTTTTTACGTTAGCAACAAAATTTTCTCGTGATCGACCTTGTCTTTAGGACGATTTATTTGATCAATAAGTCTTTTTAATGATGACAAACATTCTCCTGTTCTTAAAAGAATTCTTTCTGTTTATTTATTTGCTTATTATTTCAATAGCAGCAAAGGAGACCGTTTTTTGCTAAAGGATAATATTTATTATTAGATTTTCTTTTAAAACATAACTAAGCTGGCTGTTATTGATTTAAAATTTTAAAAGGATATTTATAAAATGATACACAACTTTATATCCAGGAGGTATAAATAGATATTACTTGAACCGATAGATAGATAGAGTCTCTTTTGATCTAATTTTAAAACACTTAAAAAGTACTTGCGATGTAATCTATCTAACGTCAACTTTGTATAGTAAATTACTGATGGAACTCGCTCAAGTTTCGTGTCAGTTTATAGGACATGATGAGATGCTCTAATTAGAGTCTTAGAGAACTAATATGTTCAATAATGATTTACTACAATTAACGCTATCAGCAAATCTGGGCAATGAAACAAAAAATACAACTTGAAAGCAAATATTATTCATAATTTGGTAAGATACGAGAGTCACATTATAAAAAATTTAGAGAATAACTTAGAGAAGTATTTTTCTCAAGTTTAGTTGTCCCAGAGTTTCTTTTAACCTAAATTAGCCGATAGATAGTGACTCGTGATCTAATTTTAAAATAATTAAGCTTTGTATACGAAATAACTGATAGACCTCGCTCAAGTTTTCATGTATGTTTATGGCACAAGAGGCGATGCTCTAATATAGCTAGTAATTATATACTACAATTAACGGTATCAGCAAATCTGGGCGATGAAACAAACAATGCAACTTGAAGGCAAATTTTATTCATAATTTTCTAAGATATGAGAGTCACATTGTTAAAAATTTAGAGAATAACTTAGAGAAGTACTATTCTTAAGCCCTGATGTTCCCAGAACTGCTTTTAACCTAAATTAGCCGATAGATAGTGAGTCGTGATCTAATTTTAAAACAATTAAACTTTGTATATGAAATAGCTGATAGACCTCGCTGAAGTTTTCATGTCGGTTTATAGAACAAGAGGAGAAGCTCTAATTAGTCGCTTAGAGAACCAATATATTCAATAATTATAAACTACAATTAGCCGGATATATAGTTTCTGAATATTAACGAGGTTATTTTTGATTTAATTTCCATACGTCAGCCAATCGGGGACGATGAGGGAGCTATTTCTGCCTGTATCGAGTTCCAACCAGCTTGTTTTCGAGTTTATTCTGGTAAACTGCGGTTTTTGTTTGTCGCTCATTTATATATTAATCCGATCCACCTGTAATTAGCATCAGTTTCCCCAGTAACAGTCCATTCATTCAAGTCGTTGAACCTAAAGAAAAGCTGTTTACGTTTGTATAAATATCCATGCAACGTAATTTTCTTTTTTCATAATTAAATCGGCCAGTTTATTTTGTCTTTCTCTTCGCCTAATTGATTCATTTAAACACGCCAAAGACGTTTTTAATACTTTGTTTTATTTATAAAAGTACAGTGAATGAAACCAAACAGCCTCGAGCATTTTATTTGCTTAATTTGCGGCTTTTTTGCTTACTCGAGTTTTATAAATTCTGCCAAAACTTTCTAAAACTTTGTGTTGTAGATTGGAGGTGTATGTGAAAAATTATGTTTTAGTGTAATTATTATCGGCTTGTTTATGTGTGTTTTAAGCCTTTTGTTTGCTATACCATTCTATTTATAAATTAAGGAGAGATGTATTTCAGTAATCGACAAATTCAACCATTGTTGACGTTTCAACTGTAAACCACAGTTCCAAATATCTGTATGCTATTTTCAATTTAGTTAATCTATTATCTCAATCAACTTAAAGCTGTTTTAAGCTTTTTGTTTTCAATACCGTTCTATTTTCAAATTAAGGAGTGAAATATTCCAGTAATTGGCAGATAACGTTGTTGTGTAGAAAACTCTGATGTGTAAAATTGTTGGGCATAGCGGCTTATATTTTGATGAAAATTTAGCCAGAAAATAGAAAATACTATCAAACTACAAGCTTTTTGGTCTGAAAAAATAATTATTTTGTGAAAGAATTATTGAAAATAAAACAACACAATTCATGTCAAACGAATATTGTTCATAATATTGTTACGTCTGATAGTCCAGTTATAAATCTAACTTTTTTACTTCGATGTGATAGAAAATGCCGTATCATTTTTTGAATTGCATGAAAATAGTATATGAATACACCTCCAGTCCTAGAATGGCTTTTAACCTAAATACATGGTTACTCCACACAAATTTCTCTTCATTTTAGTACATATACCTATATATGAATTATTTGTATGACCCCGTTACCTAGTTTATGATAAAATATATGACCTATTATTCCCTTAATGAGCAATTTTTGATATACTTTTATATAATATGTAAATATTAATTATTCAAAATATTTATTTATAAAATTATTTCTCTATGTTAAAAGTACCGATAAAATAAGCTTTTTTATTTTTATTCGGAATATATTTATAGAAAGATAATTACAGTACAGGTAACAAGTATATCGATATCTAATTTTTTTCTATTTAATAATTTATTTGACTTTGTTGAATTTTTGCAATTATAAAAAGGACGCTCTATGATTATTTAAATTTTTTCAAGGTTATACGAATGCAGATATGTAAAATAACCACCTCCAAGTTGAGAATGATTCATTCCGTAAATGATTCAGTTATTCTTAACATATATATAATTAAACTATCGATTCTGTCTACCTGTTTGTTTCTCAAATGTCAGTAAACTATAATAAGTAGGTAGTTAAAAATAGACGGTAAATGCTTAAAATATTAATTAAACATTGTCATCAACCTTTCTTTGTTTAAAGAGGTTTATTTGTAACATTCGTTTCGATATATATATATATATATATATATATATATATATATATATATATATATATATATATATATATATATATATATATATATATATATATGTCAAATATCTTTTTATACAGGGTGGTTCGAATTGTATTCGGGAAACTTAAAAATAAAAAAAAAATAAAAATAAGAAAAATAAAAATAAAAATGGCAAATAAAAATAAGAAAAAAAGTTTGTATAAATGTATGTTTTAAAATGCTTCGTTTCGGAGATACAGGGTGTAGAACTTTCATTTTGATTTACTGATTTACTATACTACAACACCGATATTTGGATGAAAAGAAAAATTCATAATTAGCTTAAAAAATCTAGTCAACGTGTTTATTTTTTGTCAATAATAACATGCATTGACTATTTCCATTCCAAATATCTTGAAAACGGTTACTCGTAGAGATTTTTATCAAAAGACATTTTTTACGTAAAAAACTACTGACATGCATATTTTTTATTACGACAAGTTATTACTCTTCAAATCAGCTAAAAAACCTAGACACCAATTTTCATCCAAATATCGACATCAGTCATTAAAAATGTAACTTCTATACCCTTATTCTCCGAAACGAAGCATTTTAGTATATAAATACGAACTTTTCTAATATTTTTTATCTGAAGAATATGCTGTCGATGTTTCCCGAATACAATTCGGGCCACCCTGTATAATATAATCGGTGAAAGAGCCAATTTTGATACCTAATAAACTAATTGATTATTGAAAAGAAACATTTTATTTTAAATGAAAGTAGAGAAATTTCAAAAGTAACTAATCTAACGAAGTGGATAGGTATTTGATAAATTAAATTTAATAGATTATTTTGTTGATTCCGAAAGATCAATTTTATCGGTATTTTAAATCTGTTCCGTACACGATTTTATATCGTATTTGCGTATAAATTTTGAATGAATACTTAAAAAGCTACGGGATGATACTTGTTGCCTAAATGGTTTGACTTTGTTAATAATCAATTCTGGGGTTGGACGACGGCTTCAGGCAAAGTTGTCGCCTTCAAAATTCTGTATTTAGGTAATATCCAAGTCTGTTTCATTACTTATAGGATTCGGAGAAGGGTTTATTCGATAGAATCAACATTAAATAAAGTTTGACAATCTAGATCAAAATTCCACAGTTATAAAGTTTCAAGGGCTTTGAATAATTCTATAAAAAATCTTGGTTTTATTTTATTAACTCTTACTAACTAACTAATTTTTTTATATCAGCAATTACATGATACTTTCAGAGGAACAAAACGTTTATACATGTGTTAGCTAACAATTTTGCATTGTTTTAATATAATGCTTTAATTATATTTTTTTCTTTTTCAGGAGCATTATTAATAATACACCCCAGCACATAAAGACCGCCCAAAAGGAGAGACATGGGTCACCCCTATATAATCCTGCTGTTTGAGATTGGCCTTCTATTATCCGATTAAAAGTAAGTTTAATCTATTATTTCAAAATTATTAAAAGTTTATGTATGAACAGATTAATTATAGTTTTTACGTTACAATTTAATGTTAATGAAACAAATAAAAGTACTTTCACAAAAACAAAGAAAAGTATGGAAAAGGTGAAAAATACACCCACCTCTACATTAAATTTTAGTTTAAATATTTTCCCACTCCACTCCAGACCGATTTTTTTTTCATAAAATGGTCCCTCTAGTATTTACTACTTTTATTGTCACTTGTAAAAAACGCCACCGCGCATATTTTTTGAGAAAAAAAATGTTTTTGTCACATCAAGCCTATGTAGGCGCATAAAATCTATTATGCGCTAATAATCTACTTACGCGAAAATATAGAATTTTATGTTGTTATCACAAATTATATTTGGCAGTAACCTTCATATATAGCTTAAAAAATAAATAAATTTTAAATTAATTAACGCTTGGGTTAATTTTTTATTGAGGTCCCCTAACGGACAAACGAAGCACTTTTGTATAGAGCTAAATTATGTCCAATGAACTTATTTGATTCTAAAATACGTAGTAGTTCAATGTCCACGAAATATTTGGACACCCTGTACTTAGAACACTGAATGGTAGTAGAAAGATAAAACACAATATCTTCAACAATTAGAAATGGAAAAAACTTTTTTAAACTAATTATATCAGAATTTACTTCAAAATTGCTAAAAATGTTCAAAAGAGAACATCAAAACGAATTTGCTGAAATATTTTATATTTATAACACTGAAGAGTAGCAGAAACGTATAAATAATATTTTAATCAATTTCCAGTTGTAATTGTATGAATAAAAATACGCACTACTCTAAATAAACTTATATGAAACAAATACCGTAACATATTTTTTTTTGCTTCTTTCAACAGTGTTACTAATTAACAAGAGAAAAAAAGCCTTGTACGAAATATAGCGTGCCAAGTAGTTCAGGTATACGCGTTTTTCTAAATATTTCCCTAAAGTACATTCATTATACATTAATCCCACTGCATAATACAGAGTGTTAAGGTAGAACTGCTCGCTCTTTTTTATATTCGAGTTTTTTTATTTGCTAACGAGTTATACTTACTTGATATCAAACTGGGTAAAATTGGGGGCCAAAAACATAACTAACCTGAAACAAAAAAAAACATTTTTTATTGAGGAATTAAAGCCAAGCATTTTTAAAAAAATTTGAGTATTTTTTTTATTATCTAAATATAAATATACGTATATCTGTGATCCATTATTTTAGTCTGAGAGTACTTTTTTTCTTCCTTAAAGCGAATCTTTTTTACGTACATATATAATACGTTTGTTCGCATGAATATTGTCTCTTGAGAATTTTTTATATTTATAAGAATATGTTCTTTTTTTGTATTTTACCATTATTTTGTGAAAAATATTTTATTAGGTTTTGAAAATAAATATACGATGTCACTCATATTATTCCCAATGAAGCGGGAGCATTTTCTGTTATTCCTTTTTACTTTTTCTTTAAAAGTTGTGATTTAAAAGCATACAAAAAAGCTCTTAGGGGAAAAAAGTCTCATGTAAAATTAATTTCTGACTTAAAATTTGTGGCGCGTAAATTTTTTTTAAAGGAATATATTTTTTTGTAATACTACGATGTTTTTATAAAGTTAAATTCAATTCTTAAGATAAGTTTGTATGAATATAATCTTGATATGGCAGTAAATCCTATCTGAAAACTCAAGATTTCCTTAACTCTGTAGCTTCAAGCAAAATGTTGTTTACTAGGAGTATTATAATTAACTTCCTTTTATCTCCGGAAGAAAAATTTAAGTTTTCTGCCTCGTTAGAAAATTTTTACTGCAAAACAAAATTACCGAATAAGATTATTATTATATTTTCTTCTTGGTAATATATATATAATTAAACATCTTAAAAAGTAATTTCGAATAGGTAACATATTATAGGTTTTTTAGATTGTTTAGTTCATACTGGCAGATAGTAGATTGTAGGTATACTAAAAAACAGCGTAATACAATAAATAGGGAAAAGCAATATCCAAAATTTCTGTATGAAAAACATGCACATCTCGAAAGACGTATAGAGCAGTAAAAGGTGACTCGGCCACATTTTGCGTTGAATTTTATTTATGGAAAACATTTTTGACTTTAACATTAAATTGAAGGTAGTGGTTCCTAGAAAAAGGTTTTTTTTGCTGATACAGTTCAAAAAAAATGTATGATATTATCCAATCACATAGAAAATTGTCTAATTTATTCTGTTAATTTATAAAGTATATAAAATTTCAATAGTCAAATAATATTTTATAAAATTTGTTTAGTAATATTTTTATTCTGGTTGTGGATAGTATCCAAAAGATTTCACGGAAATTCATAGGCTAAATAATGGAAAGCTATTGAAAATGATCTGAAAAGCTTTTATAGTTGCTAATATTCAGTTATTCGCATTTGAGCCAAAAAATCAACAAAAATTAAAAAATTACCGATATTATATATATAATTTAGCTCAATTTAAAGGCTGAAACAATGGAAATTAAAGTAGTGTTTTTTCAGTATTACTGCTAATGTACAGGGCGATCAAAGTTGTAGACTTTAAACAAACGCCGTATCTTTTTGAAAATAAAAAAATAAAATTTTTGGATTTGCCATTCTAAAAATACAGTAATGTTTAATGTAAACGTAACGTTTAAATTAAATTTATATATACAGGGTGGGCCTTAAATAGATACTAATGTATTTTTTCCACTATTTTACCATATCAAATTTTTTGTTGGTTTGGCAAATTTATGGTAAATATTTTTTCTCTATGATCATTAACTTTTGACATAGAAACCAGATATTCTGAGTTTGAATTGTTTGTTTTAGTCAGGCTCGTTGAACCCGGCACAAAAAGTTTAAAAAATGCTCGAAAAATAAATAATATCAACTTTAATAAAAATGCTAAACAATTAAAATGTTTAAAAAGCTAGTTAAAAGTTTTAATGCTTTATTTATCGATCTGGATTGTCAACGACAGTGTTTTAAAATTTATGCCAAATTCGAATAAACTTTAATAATTATATCCCAAAACGTAATAAAATCAACTGCTTGTTTATGGCATATTTTGAGCGCAATATAAAATGTTTATTAAGCTTTTTTTATTTATATATCCAGAGAATTTGCCAGAATCGGAATATAATAAATCAGGCTATTTTGAAGGATACAAATTACTGGAAAGACACGATAAATTTGCCCATGCTCGAAGAATTTCAGGATCGCAATTTTTAATAGAAAATAATGCATAAAAGCATGTCATCATAAGTGGTTTGAAAATATAAAACCAGCCTACATACGAGTGTTAGCACCAGATAAGAGCTTTATATATTTCGTAGACCAAGTTTAAGCTCTGTATTTTATAACTAATTAGATTATTACACTATAAATAACTTGATTCTTAAATTAAGCTGTTTTATGCACTTTATTTGCCATTATGGTTAATTGTAAATAAGAAAATTTCCCAAATATTTTGTGGGAAAATAGGTATATTTTCTTTTAAACGATTAACTGAAATATTTGGGGCATATTACTGAAGGCATTGCAGTACAGGTAAAGTGAGAACTGGATCAATAATGTTATAATGTAGGTTGTAGTATTTTATACCTAATATTTTTTAAATTTTGTTTATACAACTGAAGAACTATTTTTACTATAAACTATTAGTGACCTATATTTTTATTTGATAAGTACAAGAGGAACAATTCATTAGTCTTTATCAAACAGCACATTAAATTAAATGATTTTATTGATTTTTACTGGAACTCAATTTGAAGAAGTGTGTTGTCCCTCATGTACAAACATTTGTCGCATTAATATCATTCCATTATGCGCTTTTGTTTGTTTTAACATGCACTAATTAGGGAAATTAGAATAACCTATTTTATTTAAGAAAAAAATATTTTTGGTTCGTTTTAAGACTTAAGGGATTGTGACAAAGCAAGAAAATTACTCTTTTGATTGGAAAGATTATACGGAATTGTTCGCCTCAAGGGTTAAATGAAAAACCTCTAAAGCCCTTTGAGATTCTCCATCAACATAAGTAAGGATCAAGAAGTTTGAATTGAATTAACCGTTTATTAAATATTTCGCAGAAAATCTCTTACAGAGCGCTTTTTCTTGAATTATTTTATCATTTTTATTTATTAGATTTTAATATTATTATTTCATTTAATTATAATCGAATAATTGTTGAATTTCAGAGCACGTATCTTATTTTCATTATCTAAACTTAATACTTCTGATGATCGGGCGTAAAAAACTTATTTTTTTGCTCTGTAGCCTTTAGCGCTTAATGACTTAGAAGCGGAAATGATGGAAAACGGCCTTATTTCATAATTTTTCTCGGGATCTTTCTCCGAATAATGATATAATAATACTGAATAATGGCACAAAATTTTGTTTTAACTTCTTCTTAACTCTAATGACTGTTATTTTACGTTTAATTAAGAAAGAAATATTTCTAATAGATGGAATATATAATCCTGGGGATATACTTGAATAAGAAATGGTTATTATCTTGGTTTTAGCTTAAGCAAAGCCCTAGCTCTACTCCTGAGCCATTAGATAGATGGTTCAATTAGATTATGCTGGCGGTTTGTCCATATTATATTGCTAAATTTCGCAGAAAGCTTCTTCCCAATCCCGCCGAGTTAGAATAAACAATTTTCTCTATTTCGTGGAAGCTGACGTTCCGGATTTTCGTAGTTTTCCACTGGATATTTCTAGGTTTTTCACCCTAGAGATCGCCAGTCTCGTAAAAACTAGCGGAGAGCTCTTTGGTCAGGAAATATTAAGGGCGATTCTCCGAACTGGCAAAGGGATTACCAAACGTTATATTCCCTTGAATTTACTTTACATGGTGTAAGTCGAAATCTAGACATTAGAAAGACATATTCAGTTCATCATTACAGTGTCTTTTTTATTTTTTACGTAATTATTATTATATAAATAATGCCCATTTTTTGGCTATTTTTACACATTTTCGAGCCATAAAATTATGAAAATTTCAGAATATCTAGGAAATTTTATGTAGATTAAGAATATATACATCTCTGAGGACTTTGACTGAGATACCTTGGTTTTATGAGAAAATCAATTTTTCGAATCCCTGTTTTTGACCTATTTTTGTGATGATTAAAACGTCTGCTACATCCATTACTGTTCTCTTAAGACTACAATGGCCTATATTTTCTTATTCTACGCCTTTTAATTAGTAAATAACAGTTGTTTTAACAAAATGGGTGACATGACGAAAATCGACGATTTTCATTCATTTTGGTTATTTAATAATTTTTAAGTCGCTTAGAGATATAGGAATCATAAAGATACAATTATGAAAATTTCAGGGTTTGTAGAAAATTTTGCCAATTTGTACTTTTAGAATATATAAGCCTTAAAACCTTAAAAGTTTTCCTTTTATGAGAAAATTGATTTCTTAAACCCTTGTTTCTGGTAATGGTTAAAATGTTTTTTGATAATTTTTCACACATTTTTGAAAAATAATATACATAGTCTTAAAATTCTGTGATGCGCGTAGTAATTGGAACCTCATACCATTTGTTCAAGAATATTTCTTTTTCTTTCGTCATAATCAAATACATAAATTATTCTTAATAAAAAAGGTAATAATACTAAATAAAAAGCCACTGTATTATTGTGTGGCACCTTGACCGATTTTTTAAAGGTCGGTTGTTTTTTTATTCACTAAAGTCCTTTATATTTAATATAGAGTGACTTATAAGTTGGTCTCTGTGGGCTGTAATCCGCTAGTATTTTTTCTTTAAGCAAATACATTTGTTTATGTTAGAGTTTTCAGTAAAGAAAGACATTTTTTTCGACAAGCCATATTTAGAACTCTCTTATAATGACTAATTAAGTTTATATATCAGCCAAGCTTAATAATTGTAAATCTTGCTATAAGTGTGCATCTTTAGGTTATTAAGGTTTCAATTTCAACTGAATATATCTTGATCATGTTACACTTATAAACCCCCAGATTGGGGTAGTAAATCCCTCTTGGCGTATTACTTTTCACGGATAAAACTCTGATGAGAATAATCAATCTTCTGTTGTTCTTACACACACGATTTTCGTTAAAATATCACTT